TTTGGGCTCAAGCAATCCTCCCACCTCAGCCTCTTTGTGTAGCTGGGACTACAGGCACATGTGGCTGATTTTGTTTTTTGTAGAGATGTGGTCTTGCTGTTTCCCATGCTCCTGGCCTCAAGCAGTCCTCCACCTTGGCCTCTCAAAGTGCTAGGATTATAGGCATGAGCTACTGTGCTTGGTTGAATCTACATTCTATTACTTTGCCTATTATAGATACTTATTAGCAGAATCATCCAACATTTGTCCTTTTGTGTCTGTCTGATTTCACATAGCATAACGTTCTTAATATTCACCCGTATTGTGGCATGTATCAGAATTTCATTCGTTTTTATAACTAATATTCCATTGTATGTATACACATTTTGTTTATTCATCTTCTGTTGAACATTGGAATATTTCTACCTTTTTGCTATTGTGAATAATGCTGCAGTAAATATTGACATAACAAGTATGTATTTGATTGCCTGTTTTTAAGTTCTTTGGGGTATATGTCTTGAGTGGAATTGCTAGATAATGTCATGTTTTATTTCTAAAATAAAGGAATTAAAGCTAGTTGACAAACATCTCTCCCAGTCTTTCCAGTTTTTGCAGATTGGTTCTGTGCTGGGCTCTTCCCTCAATACTTAGCCAGGCTTGTACTGAGCCTAGCAGTCAGCCCCAGAAGTGTAGGGTCTTTGCAGGTCTCGTCTGAGCATGCTTCTTGCTGTGTATTAAGGAGGTTTTCTAAATCTCCCTGTATGTGCTGTTGAATATTCTAATTTCCCAAAGAAACTCCTCTTTGTAGCCTTTTCTCCCAGAACATAGATGGGTTTTTGGGTATCTTGACTATAGTCTTTCGACCCAGGTGTTTGCAGGTTGTTTGTTCACCTTACACTTTTTTCAAGCGATGCCTACTTTTTCTGGCCTGAGTTCTAAGTTAGGTAAAACAGCGATGAGTGCTCTGTCAATCCCGTAAGTAGCCCCAGACAGGCTACAGGAGACTTAAACAAGAATTTGTAAGTTCTGCTCTGCTTTCTCTAGAAATGGGAATTAGGGTCCAACACAGAATGTAGTTGCTGTTTTCAAGACTGCTGGAACACCAGGGAGCTTGTGGGGTAAGGGCGAGCAGAAATGTCAGAAAGCTTTCTCATCATTTTAAAGTTGCTTCTTCTTGATTCAGCATTTGCTTCATTGCTATAAACGTTTTACTGTTTTCCAGAGTTCTGACAAAACTGGCTATGCCTGTTCCTGGTTTTGTTTTATTATTTTTTTATTTTTTAAAGATGGGGTCTCACGATGCTGATTAGGCTGATCTCGAACTCCTGGCCTCAAGTGATCCTCTCAGCTTAGCCTCCCAAAGTGCTGCAAGTACAGATGTAAGCCACCACACCCAGCCCTTGCTTGTTTTTCAGTTTCTGATGTTGAATGTGCCTATTCCACCATGTTGTTCAAGTGTATATATTTTCTAACCTACCCTGTAGTGCTGTGATGGGAAGTTACAAGCTTAAAATAACTCCCTGAGCCTTTTGTATAACTCAAGAAAGATCAAAAACTTTGATTTTATCCTATTAGAAGGTTTAGAAAAATGATGTATCTTTCACTTTTCCAGGGATAGGCTATTCTGCCTCATTAGAAGGCTCCTATGTGCTGGATGCTGTGCAAGGTATTTAATTTCTCTTAATGTTTACATGATGTATCTTTCACTTTTCCAGGGATAGGCTATTCTGCCTCATTAGAAGGCTCCTATGTGCTGGATGCTGTGCAAGGCATTTAATTTCTCTTAATGTTTACATGATGTATCTTTCACTTTTCCAGGGATAGGCTATTCTGCCTCATTAGAAGGCTCCTATGTGCTGGATGCTGTGCAAGGCATTTAATTTCTCTTAATGTTTACATGATGTATCTTTCACTTTTCCAGGGATAGGCTATTCTGCCTCATTAGAAGGCTCCTATGTGCTGGATGCTGTGCAAGGCATTTAATTTCTCTTACTGTTTACAATCTTGTTGCCAAGGCTGATCTTGAACTCCTGGCCTCAAATGATCCTTCCAGTTCAGTCTTACAAAGTGTTGGGATTACAGGTTGAGCCACTGCATCTGGTGGGCTAAGGACTAGCTTAACTCTTTTCAATGTTTATGCCTACTTTTTTCTTAACTGATTGTATGACTATGTCTTCTGGAACAATACTGAATAGAAAATGGTGAGAGCAGAAATGCTTGCTTTAATATTTCACCATTATATATGATGTTAGCTATAGATTTTTCTCACAGATGCTCTTTATCAGATTGAGGAATTTAGATACCTACTTTGCTGAAAGGTTTTTGTAGTCTCAGGGGGTGCTAAATTCTGTCAAACGCTTTTTTTGTAGTAATAGAGATGATTTGTTGGTACAGTCATCGAGATGTGGATTTTCTCCTTTATTCTGTTTATCAGTGATTACACTGGTTGACTTTCTAATGTTAAACCAACCTTGCTTTCCTGGAATAAACCGTATTTGGTCATGACATATTATCATGTTTTTTATACATTGCTGGATTTGATTTGCTAACTGTTTTAAGGAGTTTCATTTCTATGTTCAAAAAGACATCATGCTGTTGTTTTCTCATGATGTCTTTTTCAGGATTTGTATCACATGGCATTTCTTAGGCATATCTAAGTATCATTTTGTCAAGGACCTCAGAAATGCAAAAATCAATTGTTTTGAGGTGGTTTTTCCATCATGAAAGAATTTCTTTAAAGTCATCTGTCTGATTCTGTAAAAATATAATTTTTTTTTTTTGAGATGGAGTTTCGCTCTTGTTGTCCAGGCTGGAGTGCAATGTCACGATCTTGGCTCACTGCAACTTCTGCCTCCGGGGTTCAAGCAATTCTCCTGCCTCAGCCTCCTGAGTAGCTGGGATTACAGATGTGCACCACCACGCCCAGTTAATTTTGTATTTGTAGTAGAGATGAGCTTTCTCCGTGTTGGTCAGGTTGGTCATGAACTCCTGACCTCAGGTGATCTGCCTGCCTCAGCCTCCCAAAGTGCTGGGATTACAGGCATAAACCACTGTGCCCAGCCACATTTCACATTCTTTATGTGAACAAAAAGCTGAAAAAAATCCAGGGAAAGAATTAAGATGTGGTATGAATTGCCAACTCAATGTTTTGTTCTTGCTAGTCGTGTTACCCCTCTCTATTTCATCCATTTCTTAGTAATAAGAAAAAAAAATAATTTTCCATTGAGATTTAGGTAAATTTTTGAATTACAGTATATGACAGATAAAAACCTTGAGGTTCAAACTCCAGATATAATGAAATTTAATTGAAAATTACTACAGCAGTTTAAGTCAATCTGTAATTTTGAAAGCAGTTTTAATATTTTATCTTCCACAAAAAGCTAGGAAGGTTTCTCTGCTGAACTTAAAGTATAAAGGAAATATCCAACATATCTTTAGTTAAAAATCCAGAAGTCAGATGATAATTTCCAAATATGTATTTTAATAGAAAAAAATTACAAACTTCATATGCAATAAAGTATCTGCTACTTATGTAAAAAAACCCAAAACTTTATGTACACATAAAAACACATAACATTTTTGTAAATAGAGAAGAGGTCTCAAAAGATAACATTAAAATGAAAACAGCAGTTACCTCTGGGGACAACAGCTGCGCAGAAATGCTAACTGCTTTTCAACAATGGTTTGATTTTCTAGATGAGATTCTATTCTTGTGTAATTTGTGTAACTAATATAAACATTTAAAAATTCTTCAGTGAATCACAAGTACTCACTACAATAGACATAACACACTCAACTCCTAAAATAAATTATACTCAGTTTTGAAGGTAGGGGGTGACATAAAAGTCGGCTATATATTCAAATCCTACAATATAATCAATTATTTCCAATTATCTTTTTTATTGCTAAATAAAAATATATTGCTAAATATATTTTGCAATAATTTGCAAAATATATTTACGGTTTCCATTAAGTTACTTAATAAGTAGACTTAGCAAAATTACTAGTAAACATTTTAGAAAATTTTCTTAATTTCTTTTGATTAAATTATCCTGCCTCAGTCTTATTAGACAAATATTTTATCCAAAAAGGAATCACATGTTCTAAGTATTTAAAATATGTTTCCTTTTTAGTCCTACCACCAATGACAAAAAAAAAAAGTAGTAACTTACTAACAAGTAATGACTTAATCCAACAAAAAACATCAACAAAATTAAAAGAAAGTCCAAATATGGTGGCTTAAGCCTGTAATCCCAGCACTTTGGGAGGTCAAGGTGGGTAGATTACTTGAAATTAGGAGTTTGAGACCAGCCTGGGCAATGTTTTGAAACACCTTCTCCACAAAAAGATGTAAAAATCAGCTGGGCATGGTAGTACATGCCTGTAGTTCCAGCTGCTTGAGAGGCTGAGGTGGGAGGATTGCTTAAGCCCAGGAGGCAGAGGTTGCTGTGAGCTGAGAAAGTGCCACTATACTCCAGCCTTGGTGACAGAGCCAGACCCTGCCTTAAAAAGTAAAAGACAAAATTAAAAGAAATGGCAAATAAGGAAAACTGCCACATAGCATGGGCAAAAGATCAGTATCTTTAAAAATATAAAGGTCTTAAAGTCCACAAGAAAAAGATGGATATTTCAAAAATAATTACAAATGGCCAAAACCTGTATGTTCACTCTCTCAGAGCCACAACAAAATAAACTATTAAAATAAGATTATTTTTTACCTATCTAATTTTCAATGCATTTTAAAAAATGGTAATACCTGTTGCTGGTAGGGACTCACTGGCACTCACTCACACTTGTGTTGGTACAGACTTCTAAAGGGCAACCTGATAATCAGCAAATGCCTTACTCATTTATACTTTGCAAATAGCTTACTCCAACTGAGCTTTTCTTATTAATTTATTTTTAAATAAAGGTAGTTAAAATAAAGAGAATTAAAAGATGTTATTATGGTTCACCTAAGCTATGGCAAAGTTCCTCCAGTTCCCCTTTTAAGAAAATTGAAAGACCAGCCAAAAAAAATCAAAGAGAAACACGTTGACCTCTTAATGCTCCACTGCATTTAATTTCTTAGAACACCACAGAATCATGGCGCTTTTCATGATGCCAGAAAGTAGAGCATGGGGAGAATGTAGAGGTAGAGTCTTACTTTTTTGCAAATCCTACCTTCTACTACAGGGAATAAAGAAGAGGCACCAGCTTCTTCTCAAGCAAAGGAATTCAGTGTAACTATATTAAAATTTTAGCATTTTCCTATAAAATTTATTCAATCTTCTTTAATTAGTGATTTAAGGTGGTCTAGGTGATGCTCTCCTATGAAGGATTCTGCTTGATTCAAAGCTTTTATTTTCACCAAAATGAGAATTATTTCTTCAACTTCATCCCTGAAAAAAGAAAACACAAAAACAAATTTCTCCCTTTAAAAATGCAATGTATGAGGGAACAGTTGTCAATCAGAACCTAATCATCTGTTGTTAATCTAAAACAAAAGCTTTACCCTTAAGCCAATATCTAAAAGTAGCATAAAATACAGAGAGATGCTGCCATCCCCAATTAAGTATAAAGTTCAAATACAGACCATCAGTGGATGTATTCTGGCAAATTCTAATGTGAATTACTGTAAAAAGTACAAGACCATAGAGTAAGTCTATCATCAGAAATTTTAGTAGTGCTGTGTTGCTATCAGGTTTTATGAGACACTGTGGTGGGAGCGTATCCATACATCATGACATTAGCAAATAATACAAATCTGAGCCTTTAGTTTTATTTATTTATTTATTTTTTTGAAGGGACTTGGTCCTTGCTCTGTTGGCCAGACTGGAGTACAGTGGCACAATCAGAGCTCATTGCAGCCTCAACCTCCCAGGCTTAAGCAATCTTCCCACCTCTGCATCCTCAGTAGCTGGGACTCAAGCATGTACCACCGTGCCTGGCTAATTTTTAAATTTTTTGTTCTAGAGACAGGGTCTTGCTGTGTTTCAGTTTCCCAGACTGTTCTCAAACTCCTGGGTTCCAGTGATCCTCCCACCTCAGCCTCCCAAAGTGCTGACATTACAGATGTGAGCCAATGTGCCCAGCCAAATCTGGGCTTAATAATTTTTTATGAAGAGGTAGTTAATAGGAATATCACTGTGTTTAAGCCCCTGAACATCTGGTGCTGTGAATGAAACATTCAGAACAGACAGCTAGCTACTACTGGATAAATACCAAGCTGTAGACCTGTACTTAACAACTGTTGAGTCTTTAAAAATGGTCAAGAAAATTAAAAGCACATTTAAAAAGTGCTTAATAGAAGGTTTTTGATTTATAGTTTTAATTCTATATTCCCCTGTGCTACAGTTTTTTGAATGTGTTTAATATGGGAGAGATTTATGTTTTAAAATATGAGTATACATAAGCCATCCCAAAGGTCACCATAAAAATATCTACTAACCCTACAGTATCACAAAGTCTCAACAAATTTTTTAGATTATAGTAAAAATACAAATCTTTCTAAAAATTGCAGAGAGCATAGAGAATACTTGAACTATGTTTACAGAGGTGAAAATAAAATATGCATTACCTGAATTCACTTCTAGATAATTTATGTGCAGATTGCAATAAAAACTGAATGAAGTTTCCTAGCCGTGGAATAGATGTCCTCATGGCAGAATTTTCAAACCACTTTTCTGGTAGACATGCTGCCACCTGTTAATCAAAACACATGGCTGGTTTACAAGGACAGTTATCTAAGAACTCTTGCTAACATAATCTCATAGTGATACTGCAAGCTGAGTACCATTCTCCCCATTTTGTAGTTTATGGTTAAATAAAAATTTGTAAAAATTTCCCTTTGAGTCGAAGGCTATGTTTTGAAAATTCATTCTTTAATGGTTAAGAACTTAAAATACACTACTCTCTATGAACATTCCCTAGTAGTGGTAGTAATTCTATACTCTTGTATTTGTGAGTCATGAAATCTGTACAAAACATAATTTACAACTAAAACCCAGAAATGTCTAGATGAAAAATATTTGGTCAATACAACTCTAAAATACATACATTCACTATTATTTTATAAAGAAACTGGGTAGCCTAGCATATGATCTGTATAAATTAAGAGTTAAGGAATCAAATGGAAGATATACAGAATGAAAGAAATTAATTATGGTTATCTTCTATCAATTTACAACATTGCTTTAAGTGTAAATGGCAAAATGAATCAATGTAGGTTCATTCAATTTTTCTTTTGGAAAGAGAAATTACATTTTATCAATGTCATCCTAAGAATAATTTAAGATTTAAAGTTTTGAAAGAATGTTAGAAACATTTTAAAAGAAAAAAAAGCTTCCTCATACCAGAAACGAGAAAAAAAGGGAGGGAAAAGGGGAGAAAGGAAAAACTCATTGTTTCCTGAGAGAACAATGTCTGGCTGCCTGTTCTTGAGGTCCAAAAACAAGATGCAGACAATGGGGAAAGAAGACTGTTTGTTTCTGCAACCAGTTACAGGGAGGTCAGAGTAACTCACCAGACCAACTCAAAGTTATAAGCTTTTTTCTAGTGCTTGTATATATTTAAAGCCCCATGCTGTATGTGGGATTGTAACTGCAAGTGGGAGTGTTTCATTCAATCTCTGTCTAATCTTTAAAGGGACTAAGGTCTGGAAAGCTTTCTCCAGTCTTGGAAAGTTTCTTAAGACAGAATGAGGTGTATGTATAAGAATGCTTTTATTATTCTATCAGACTTTAGGGTCTGAGAAAACCCAGGCGGGGCCTAATGGGTTGGTTTTTGCATTCCAGTTCTTGTACTCAGGTACCAGTTTCTCCAGTTTTTTAATGTTAGCTTATGGATTCATAAAAATTATAGTAATGTGTTTGTGGAAACCGACTGTTGTTTGCTAATGGAAACATGACCTGCCACAATATCACACTGTTCAAAGAAATTCCTAGACAATCACACAGGTTATGCTATAGTTGGTAACAACAAGATCAATATTTATAGAAAATAGAGAGTTGTGGAAAAAATTAACATGCATCCTATATATTATATAACATACTAAATAAAAGTTCTAGAATGTGCTCTTTCTAAGGTTGGTCAGCATTTAAAACATGGTTGAGGAAAAAGACTTTCCTTAATCGCCTGTTTCAACTATTCAGGAAAAATACAGACACACTGACTGCCTAAGGCAGAAGATCCTACAAGTTTTGTTATACAAACTATCTCTTTTTAAAAGTTTTAAAACCAACCTTTACTGGCTTGGAATTCAATGCCACTTGCACTTGTTTTCCTCTTGTTTTGTATCACAAGTCTCAATAAAATTCTCATTTAACCATTTAATTTTTCCATTAGTGATCCCAGCACTAAAAATCTATTTTCTTGGCCTGGTTTTCTAACCATATGCTGTGAGAGAATGCTGTGTAAATATATTTCTTCTTCTCCACTTCGTAATAGACCCTATGGTCAGAGGGGACTAAACTAAACCTGAGCAACATAACATGGATGATTATTTAAAATTTTAATATGTAATGCTTAAAATTGTATGATATAAAAACTATAGCCAGAACAATCATGGTTGACTAATAATTGATATACAGTTTTATGGCAGGCTACCTTTCCAATAGCAACTAGAAGAATCAGTTTCCACTAACCCTTTTCTATAATTTTGATGAATGTGTAAGTTACACATTAAAGAACAGGAGAAATTGGTGCCTGAGTTCAAGGGCTGGCTGGAATGCAAAAACAAACCCATTAAGACCCCGCCTGGGTTTTCCCAGACCTTAAAGTCTGATCAAATAATAAAAGTGTTCTTACACATACTCCGCGTACCAGGGCCCACTTAAGATTAAAAAACTTTCCAATACTCTAGACAAAGCTTTCCAAACCCCAGACCCTAAAGATTAGATATATACTGAATGCAACACTCTCAATTGTAGGTGCACTCTCACAAGTAGCATGGAGCTTAGAATGCATACAAGTGCTGATAAAAAAACAAACTTGTAACTTTCAGTTGGTCTGTTGGGTTACTAAAACCTTTTCTCTATAACTGGTGGCAGAAATAAGCTCCCTTCTTTCCCAATCTGTCTGCATCTTGCTATTGGATTGTGAGAACAAGAAGCTGTACCCTATTCTACCTGGGAACAGTTTTGTGTGTGTGTTTATGTGTTTAAATCATATTATAAAATAAGCATTTCCCCATTTTCTTAAAAATTCTTCAAAAATGTAACTTTTGTGAACCCAAAAGTATCTAAGACAGGTCCGGAGATTTATTTTCCTTTCACATTTTTATCTTATGAGAAGACCACCATGTTTTTAGGGATATTTAGGTATTTCCAACTATTTTCTATTATAATAATGCTGTAACAATATTCTTCATACTTAAAATCTGTATGTGTAGCTCCAATTTTTGACTTAGTTTAGCAAAGCCAAAGAATATAAGCTTAAAAGTTTTGTATCCATCATGCCAAAATATTCTCCAAAAGAGCTGTAACCTTCCTTCTACCAGTGTGGGAGACTTTTCTAGAACCATTGCACTGCATACTCTAGATGAATGGTGCCCCTGAAATGATGGCTTTATTGTTTTCCTGTGTTTATGATAACATTGGAAATTATAATTAAAACAACAGCAAAAAAAGTTTGCCAACACAACTCATAAAATAAATATCCTTATTATAAATAATTTTCATTTCTCTGATTAGTACTGTTAATTATTTTTCACATATTTTAAGGTTAATTTTACATATCCTTTTAGGTGACTTGACTATTGCATGCGTTTCGGCCATTTTTAATCAGAACATTTGAATTATTTATTTGTAAAAAGCTTTTTTATTTAATGTGAATATTAATCTTTGTTACATGCTAATAACTTTTTATTTCCTAGATTCTTAACTTTTCTTTTTACCTTTCTATTACAGAAAATTTCAAATATAAACATCAGTAGAAAGAATAGTATAGTGAGCCCGATGCACATATTCCCCAGTTTTATGTTTTATTTCCCCTTTTTATGTTTTTTGATCCACTGAAGTTTTATATTTTTTGTCAAGTCTATTACTTTTTCTCAGAATTTCTCCTTTTGTCTTTAAGTTTAGAAGGAACTCCCTCACTCTCAAACAGTCATTTACCACTCAGTATATTTTACAGTTTCATTTTTATATTTTTAAAAATTTTATCTGAAATTTTTATTGGTGTATAGTTAGAGGTGAAGATCTAACATTCTTTTCATAAACATCCAGCCATCTAGCACCATTTATGACGTCATTTTTCCTTTTCGAACCAGTATACTATTTCTTAAATGCGGAAGAGGTGCTCTGGATTTCTAGTTTGTTAAATTCATTTGTCTATTTTTATATGAGTACCACACATTTAATTATTTGGCTAAATAATAGATTTTAATAGCTAATTTTTTTAGAAATGATAAAATTAGAATCAGTTCCTATACAACTTACCTGGTTGCACTTTTTAACCACATCTGGCCCTGGTGTGGCATTGAGAAGAGCTATAATAAGGTAACGATTTAGCAGCTTCCCCAGTCCTAGTTCTTGCAAGGTGTCATCTGTAAGAAGTCCATTCCAAAGAAGAATATTGCGGAAGAGCTAAATTAAAACATCAAGTAAACATGTACCTTTTCTCCAAAAAGAAACTGTAATAGTCTCTAACAAACCTAAGGAGTTGGTCTAATTTAAATTCTCACTACAATTAGCCCTGTTGGAACTGTCAAGTTTAGAACAGATCATCTCTGAATAAATACTTGATTCTTTCCAAACTCCATGTATTTGCTCATCTTATTTTCATTTTCTAAGATAACCATCCCCAAGTCAGTCTCAAGTAACTTCACTAGAGCCTTTCCAGATAAATAATCCTTCTTCCCAATCCATTTTCTCTCAGAGCCAGGGGCCATCGAGTTTAAGACCACAGAACCACATGATTCATAAAGAACTACTGTCAAAACTGGGGACAACATTACCAACATGTGACCTTGAGAAGGCAATCAGTGCTGAGAGTTTCACTGCTCTGATACATAAAGATTAATAATCACCTGTGAGTTTGAAGATAATGTGGATTAAGTAACCATAACAAAGTCTTATAAAATAAATACTGGTTGCCCTTTCCCTCTACTAAATTCAGATCTTTCTGTGAATTTTATGGTGTTGTCTACTTTCTTTCCAGTACTGTATTTATTAGTTTTACTAAAATGTCATTATTTTTTCACATTTTATCTATTGTTGATGTTGTTCCCTCCTCCCAGAAAGCCTTTTCCCCTATTCAACCCGTGACAAATATTAATTCATATTATTAAAACGCTCTTGCTGAGGTCACCTATGTCCTTCTAATTGTCAAATCCAGGAAACATTTTCAGTCTTTCTCTTAATTCTCTTTGGTGGCATTTAACACTCTTTTCTTCATTCTTGAAAATCTTTCATTTAGCTTCCTTGAGGCCATTTTCCTGTGATCATCCTTAGGCTCATAACTGATTCTACAGTTTCCCTGAAGCCTCCATGTTCTCCTCTGTATTTCCCAAAGTTCTGTCCTTAGCCTACTTCTCATGCTGCATTCAGTCTCCTTAGAGCTTGTCAGTCATGACCATGGCTCCAAATATTGCCTATAGGTAGCGGACTCCCAAATCTCCAGCTCAGATCTGTCTCCTGAAATTCAGACGCATGTAATTCTGAATTTCAGGAGACAGATCTGAGCTGGAGATTTGGGAGTCCACTACCTGTAGGCAAACCACCTCCCAGAACTCTGTATCTCTATTCGTCCCGGATATACCTTCCCTCGATCAATTATCAAGTCCTTTCAAAGCTTCCTTCTAAACATTGTTTGAACCCTTTTCTCCTTCCCATACCTACTGCCACTGACTTAGCAATAATTTTAAGGCCAGCGGTTAGCCAACTATAGCATGTGGGTTATATCTAGCCTGTTGCCTGTTTATTGTAGGACCCATAAGCTAGGAATGGTTTTAACATTTTTCAAGGACATTTTAAACCTGTCTTTAAGCAAAATATTTTGTGCCATAAGAAAATTACTTGACACTCAAATTTCAGTGCATAAGTTTTATTCAAACACAGCTTTTTTCTGCTATAGTGGTAGAGCTGAGGAATTTGGCAGAGACCATGTGAACCACAAAGCCTAAAATACTATCTAATTCTTACAGAAGAAGTTTGTTGTTCTTTGTTCTACAGTAAACAGGATTTTTACAAGATTTGCCTTTTCATTTTAGCAGTTTTTGCTCACCTTTAGGCCTGACCAGAACTGTCTTTCTTGGAACTTTGAATGCGGTGATGTTTTGTTTTCTACAACACTAATTAGAAACAAAAGAAAGAAAAGGAAGAAAATGCAAAGGACTATTAGCCTTTCAGAACCAGAGTTTAAGATCAGATTTTCTTTTAAACCAACCACACTAAACCTTAATGGAATATAAGCAGAGATTGTCTGATGATATCCACTGGAATTAGAAATGTATGCATACTCTGCCCAATGATCCCATTTCTGAGAATGCCTCTTGCAGATATAAGTGCACAAGTACAGAATATGTCTATAACATTGTTTACAACATCAGTGGTGATAATAGTTCACCACTCCCATGACCATCAGTCATAGGACGTCTAAGTGAGGGCAAACTTTGCAGCTTAAAAAAGAATGAGGAAACTGCACATGATAGATGACGTGTAAAGAAAGATCTCAAAGAGGTACTAAGTGATAAAAAGGTACAAGACAGAGTACAACTGTTAACAGTATACTTCCTTTGCTGTAGAAAGGAGGGTAACGTAAGATTATAGCCTATATAAATACTTCTGTTTGCAAGAAGAAAGCCTTGAAAAATAAACAAAAATTACTCAAGGTGATTATTAATGCATACACATGTGAGTAGATGGAGAAGGGCAAAAACTGAGTCAGGGGTGGGAGTAAAACTTTTTGTTTTAATATAAATAATGTTTTATTATTTAATATATTATTTTAATAAAATTCATATTTATAAATAAATAAATAATATACACAGTCATACATCTGAACCATGTGAATGCATTACCTATCTTAAACATTGCAAAGCAAAATTTACCACGGCAGAATTTTTACATGTAGACATCTCATGACTCAAAATAAATCAGAAAGCTTTGAGGTTCCTTTTTTCCCTTTCTATAAAGCTCCTCCATCCTGTCAGTACTCACTGGATTGCTACAGTTCATGCATCATTATAACTGATGCCTTCTAATGAAATGTATGATCGTACATCAAATATTACTTGTTTCATAATTTAAAGTGACTGCAGAATTTACAGGTGCAGTTTCTGGTTCCTCAGCTTTGTGCTACCTCTGTGCTAGGCACTGCTGTTTTCTGAGCGCTCTCTTCATCTCCTTAATATCCTGTGAGGTAGGCTTAGTGCCTTACTTTATCCTTATTTTATAGATAGAAAAACTTAAAAATATCTACTAACAGTGGACTTGTGCTCTTGAACTTGTGCTCTTTACCACTCTATGTCACCTGCTATGTTCCTAGGATATATGTAAAACCAAAACCAAAATCAACCAAACAATAATACATCTAAGTGCCAAGCATAAAGTACAGCATAAAGCAGGTAACTGAGAAATACTTGTTGAAATCTCAGTTTGCATCCTCATAGACTATGTGTACACGTTTTGAAAACACTACAATTTCTTTTGCGTTACATTCTTAAATCTGTATTCTATGATCAGCTATTTTAAACAATCTAGAAATTAACAGCTCTTACCTCTTTGGATACAGAGGAATAAAGATATCATCTTCTACTGCCCTCTTCATTCTTGAAACAATGGATTTAAGCAAATCCTATAATTAAAAATTTGAAAAGCATCAGTGATAGTCAAAGGTAGAAATGTATTTACCAATAAAATGTAATTTTAACAAGAGTACCAATTTGTCCACACTCACAGAATCAGCTGTTATAATAACTATCAATTGGGTATAAAAAAACCTTATTTATCCACGTTGCTGCATATGGCTATAGTTGGATCATTTTCACTGCCAGATAGTATTTTGTTGCATGAATACTACTGATGGAACACTTAGGTGATTTCTGGTTTGGTGGCTATTATAAATAAATGCTGTCATAAAAATTCTTGTACATGTCCTTTAGTATGCATGGTCATACATTTTTAATAGGTATATATATAGAAATGGAATTGCTGGAGTATAGTCCATGTCCATACATTCAACTATGTACAAAAAACCAAACTGTTTCTAGAATAGTGCTATCCCATTGACATTCCTGCCTGTAGTATAAAAGAAATCCTGTTTCCCTACATACTTATGATAATTGGTATTTTCTTGTTTTTTAATGTTTGCAATTGTAGTAGGTATGCACTCATATTTCAGTGTATTAATTCTCATTTTCCTGTTGAGTAATGTGCTGTTGGGCATCTTTTAATATTCCTATTTGCTGCTTGGCAAGCCCTTTTGCAAAGTACCTAATTAAGCTGCTTGCCAACATTGCTATTTTTTTTGTATTAGGTTGTGTCTTTTTATTATTTTATTTTATTTTTTGATTTATAGAATCCTTTCATATACTCTAGCTGTGGGTCCTTTGTTGGTTTGTCTTGTGTCTTGTGACACAGAAAATCCACTTAGGGAACTCCACTTTGTATATAAAAAATTAGAAATGACCAAAATATTCAATCATAGGGAATTTTAAGGACATGTTATATCCATCGAGTGAATCTATCATAAACTTTAGCTGAAGTTTATGCTGACTATAGTAACAGACAACTGTAAATATGCAATGAGATAATGTTAAGCAGAAGCAGTATACTAACTTACGTGCCTATTAGCATTGTAACTTTGAAAAAGGAGCCTGGATGAAAATATCCTATAATGGTATTAGTCCTTATACTAGGATGAAAAGATAATGACTGTTTATTTTTTTCATGTATTAGCAGTATTTCTATAATAATATTCTCATTCTTAAAAAACTTCAAATTTGTAAAATGAAAATGGCATATTACACACTAGAGTGAAAGTTATTTTTTAAGTCAATGACAATGTATACAGCACAAATTCAGCTGTCACAAACTGTATACTAGCTGAATTAACCATAAACGAAGAATTCAAATAAATATGCTTTTCCTAAAAAGCATAATGAACTGAAGTTTTCTCTTTCCACTTAATTATCTGTAATATATTCCTCAAGTGCCCATATATCAATATTTAATGCTAAAAATAAAAACTCAGTTGTATTTTACTCCATTTCTTAAACATTCTGAATTCTGTCAAAAGAAAAAAGATCGTTTTCTAGACAGTATCTCTAAAAAATAGTATCTGAGCTTATGTAACTTACTTACTTAGATGTTTGTGCTAGAAAAAAAAAGCTGCTTCGATTTTTTCATTTGATTTTAATGATTTTGAATGCCAGCCTTAGTAAATATTTCCATATTGTTTAATTTTTGTTTCTTATAACAGTTCCATTGAAAATGCTATAAAGGACATTATTGAATCAACTGGCAAAAGTGGAATATGAATGATGATTGAATGTTGATAAATTTACTGAAATTGCTAACTACGCTGGTTATAAAACAGAATATCCTTGTCTCAGCAAATATGCAGCTTGTTCTCAGTATTCAGGAGAAAAAAATATTGCATGTATATATTTAAAATGGAAGGGTTAATGATAAAGCCAACGGGGCAAAATATGAAGGACAAATAAATGTGGGTAAAGGGAATATGGAAATACTACTCTTATACATGAAAGTTTTCTTTCAAAGTATTAATATTCCAAATAAACTGTTTAAAACAAAACATAAATTCACTGGCAGGGTGTGGTGGCTCATGCCTGTAATCCTAGCACTTTGGGAGGCCGAGGTGGGTGGGTCACGTGAGGTCAGGAGTTTGAGACCAGCCTGGCCAACATGGCGAAACCCAGTTGCTACTAAAAATACAAAAAATTAGCCAGGCATGATGGCACATGTCTGCAATCCCAGCTGCCTGGGAAACTGAGGCACAAGAACTGCTTGAACCCAGGAGGCAGAGGTAGCAGTGAGCTGAGACTGCACCACTGTACTCCAGCTTGAGTGACAGAGTGAGGCTGTCTAAAAAAAAAAAGACAAAAAAAAAAAATAGACAGAAAAACAAAAATCCCACAGAAATCCACATATTTTAAAACAGCGAACCAGTAACTTTTCTAAGTATTAAATAACATCATTTGTTTGGTGGAAAATAAGGTATTCCACACCGTTTTACCAAGCATTCTGAATCACATGTTCAGATTCACATACAAACCCTGTACATATATACACATATATTTTAAAACAGCTTTAAAGGGGCACTTATATGTGATGCCAGTGGTTTTTATGCTGCTCTGTATATCCATGGAGGTAATCCCAGGATGGCCTAGACAGATGTTGGGGTGGTCAGGGAAGAATAAAGGCAGCTGCTCACAACAGCAGGAGCGGTTTTACTTCTGTGTGTGTGTGTTTACATATCGGGTTGTGTAAGATGTATTTGAAATAGCTTCTGTTGACAAAAAACAAAAAATGAATCTGAAAACCACCAATCTATCTGAACACCCAAGTGATGCTTAGACTCATTTTCACATTTCTACTACATGGTCCATCAGCCAGGTCTAAAAGCATTTGCTGATAGGGAATCATTATCTCTGTAGAGATGGGTCTTGCTATGATGTCCAGGCTGGTATTGAACTTTTGGCCTCAAGAGATCCTCCTGCCTCAGCCTCCCAAAGCACTCAGATATACAGGCATGAGCCGCCATGCCTGGTAATTACCCACTTTTTTTAAACAGGGCTGCTGGGATTAAGATGACAGGTACAAGACCTTACAGAGTGCCTAGTACACAATTAGAATTAAATAAGTGTTTATTATCTTCCCTACTTCTCCTTCTCACTTCCTGTTTTAAATTATAGTTTCTGTACATCTCATTTTCTCTGAGATTACATGCTTCTTGAAGGCAGAATTGGCTGGTATCCCTTTTCTCTCTTTCATTTCTTACAGCTTTCCTCCTTTGTAATCACAATTCCAAGGGCTAAAAACTTAATGTGATCATAATATGAATATGATATGCCTCCTTGCTTTTTAACCACCTCTGTCATTCTACTCTGGGCATTCTCCAGTCTGTCAATCTCTCCTTAATTTCCTAAAGCTCACCCTAAAATAGGTTTACTCATAAAACTGCATGAATTCACAATTTCATCAATAAACAAACAAACAAACAAAATACCAGAATGAAAGAATCAGCAGATTCTCAGCAAGAGCTCTCTAAAAAGTTCCTTGATACGTCTTATGTTCAGTGAACTCAATTCTAGGTCACTGTAAGATCGAGATCTGTCCTAGTAAACTTTAAAAGAGATTATTATTATTTGGCAGATTACAAATAACTAGTTAATATAATAAGTGTTAGTCTAATTTTGAAACCATTATTCAAGCATGGCCACAATGCCACTAGATTTTTGCTAAAAGAATATGAGTGTTGTTTTCCTTTAGAAGAAATGAATTTGCACTATGAATTAATACCTGTTCATCTCTGCAGGTCCAGTGTATATTCATAAACTTAAAAGATGGCTACCTTTACCATAAGAACACAAATCAGATTACCGAACAGAGAAAAGTAAGCTAATAGAAATGGAAGTAGTAATCTGGGAATTTACATGTATGTGTATATTTTAAAATGATTACCACTCCCATCACAGTGTTCAGAAGTATCAAGGTATATTCTTTCATCTTATTATAAAGAAGAAAAATAGTCTAGTTAAAAAAATTTTTTTTTATCTCAGTGCAATCTGAGAAAAAGTCTAGTTTCTATAAATCAAAAGTAAATATGTTTTTCCCAAAACAGTTTTCTGGTAATTACTTCTGCATCTTTTATAAACAAAGATCTGTAAGAAAATGATAATGCTTTACAGATACATCATGGTGTTCACAGCTCTAGAAATTATTACCTGTTTGCTTTTACTAACTTCATTTTCACAAGTGGAATGTTCTTCAAGAATCACTTTGCAATGTGTTATTAAACTTGTTGTCTGTGAGGTTGACAAAGGATCCCAAAGAAATTCTACAAAATCTGAAACAAATATTTCAGTGGTACACAATTTATTTACTAGATTGTTTTGCTTCTCATATACAAATAATCAAAACCTAACAAACACTACTTCTCTCCTTATTCAGTTTAAGATCCATGGCCAATTATTACAATTACATATTTGCATACATTCTCAATTTCCTGGTTCTTCTTGGGCTTTGTTAAACTCCTCTGACTAAACTACAACTCTCTATAGTTAGGTTTACCTTGTCACTTAGTCTCTGCCTGCAACCAAACAGAGCGGCTGGAAAAAAAATCACATTAACTTGATCACTATACAACTTGAGCAAGCCTCTATTTCAGGTCCATTCATTCTCCCTCTCACCTAGATGATTACTTCATACCTTTTCCCTTCTCCTTGATCTCATTCTCAGTTGATGGACTTTTTTCTTCTAGATGATTATTTCCTACTTTATTTTTTTACTTTCTTGCTTTCTCTTTCAGCTAATTACTTCCTAATTTTCTAAGAAAATAGAAGCAATCTAAAAAGCAGCTCTACAAATCTCCTATCACAGCATCTACACACCTACCTGCATCTGTGCCCATATGCTCTAATTTGTCTCCTATTACTATGGATGAGGCACCCACTGTGCCATCACTTCAGGCGAACTGTTTATTTTGTGCATGAGATTCCAACCTTTTGGCTTAGTCAAAGATCTTGTCCCCAGAACTCTGTCCTTCCACTTTGGTATTGACATCATTTGGACTAAACTTTTTCCATCACCCTACAAATAACTATTTATTTTGTATTAAAAATAATCCCCCTCTTAGACCTACTTCCTCAAGTACTGTTCCATTTCCCTCCTATCTTTTACAATAAAATCCCCCAAAATACTGTCTAAATTTCTATCTCCAATTTCTCTCTTCTCACTTTGTTCTTGATTTCCCTTTAATTACTCCTTATCTCTTACTAGTTCACCTAATGTGCTTTTAGCAAATGACAGATGACATTCACATAACAAACTCCAATGACTGACTCTAATCCTCATCTGACTTATCATCAACTCCAACAGTTGATCATTCTTTCTTCCTAGAAACACTGTCTTTACTTGGCTTCCAGGATACCACACTCTTAGTTTCCTGCCCACCTCTCTGGTCTTTGCTATCTGCTTGTCACCTCTGACTTACAGGTGCTACAGTACCTCAGGATTCAGGTCACTTACCTTCTCTTTTCTATTTACATTCACTCACTTAGTATTTGACTTTATGACTTTAAATGCCATCAATAAATGTCACGTGGATAAATTATACTTTCTGACTGGACCTCCCCCTTTAAGACTCATGTATTCAACAATTGACCTGACATTTCCACTTAGATTGCAGTTACATCAAACTCAACATGTCCCAAATGGAGCTTCTAATATAGCTCCCCACATTAAGCTTACTCCTCACAGAATTTTTCATGTAGGAAATAGCACCTCTGTCCTTCCAGTTGCTCAGGCCAAGACCCATGGAACCATTCACTCTTTCTCTCTTGCTGCACAACCCATCCATTAGTATATTCTGTTAGTGCTATCTTTGAAATATATATAGAATTCAACCACTATCGGGATTCAGTGAGTGTTAATTTCTCACAAAGCTACTTATTTGTGGGACGTTTCATCACAAGTATTTAGATTACTTTCAGCAGAGTGCTTAAATGAGGCACATGTACTCTATCATTAGTAGAGCTAGTTAAAAACAGTAACTTTCTCATACACCCTACAACAGCACCTTAAGGTTCACTGAAATAAAACTTGAAAGTTTTTTTTTAAATTAAAAAATTTATAAATAGGGTTGGGGTTTCACCATGTTTCCCAGGCTGGTACCAAACTCCTGTGCTAAAGCGATCCTCCAGCCTCGGCCTTGCAAAGTGCTGGGACTACAGGCATGAGCCACTGTGCCCAGGCAAAATCTTTTAAAGTTTAATCAAGTTGCTTAAGAAGCAATTATAAGGCTGATTGGTTCAGACTTCTAGGCTGGGCATGGTGACTCACCCCTATTATCCCAGTGCTTTGGGAAGCTGAGGGGAAATATATTTAGAGGCCAGGAGTCTGAGACTAGCTTGGGCAACACAGCAAGACCTTGTCTCTCAAAAAAATCTTTTAAAAATTAGCTGGCTGTGCTAGCACGGGACTGGAGTCCCAGCTAATTGGAAGGCTGAGGCGGGAAATCACTTGACCCCAGGAATTCAAGTCTGCAGTGAGCAATGTTCATGCCACTGTACTCCAGACTGGGTGACAGAGGAAGACTGTCTCAAAAATGAACACACAAAAAATAAAATAGAGTTGTGCAGTCTTTGCTGTCAAACTTCTCAGTTACATAGTGAAACAGATCCTTATCAAGTACACAGGTAAAACAAAAGACTTCACTTGTCTTTGCTTGCCTGAAGCACAAGCATTAATGTTAAGTGCTTATAGATGCTAGTGGCAGATGTGAGTGGAATGAAGCAACTTTGTTGTTGTTGTTTTTGAGAAAGAGTTTAGCCTTTGTCACCCAGGCTGGAGTACAATGGCGCGATCTCGGCCCACTGCAACCTCTGCCTCCCACGTTCAAGCTATTCTGCCTCAGCCTCCAGAGTAGGATTGTGGCACCTGCTACCACGCCCAGCTAATTTTTGTATTTTTACTAAAGGTGGGGGTTTCGCAATGTTGGCCAGGCTGGTGTCAAACACCTGACCGCATGTGAGCCACTTGCCTTGGCCTCCCAAATTGCGGGGATTACAGGTGTTGGACACCACACCCAGCCAAAGCAATGCTTTTTAAAGAAAAGGAAAAGAAATGTGATGAGAGAAGTGAAGGGAAAAAGGAGACACATGTAGTATGGATGGAAGTGTGCTAAAAAATGACTGAAGCAGCCAGGAATGCCACAAACACTAAATTGACTTTAAATACTAAGTGAATAAATGTAAATAGAAAAGAGAAGGTAAGTGACCTGAATCCTGAGATACTGTGGCACTTGGAAGTCAAAGCGGTGACAAGCAGACAGCAAAGACCAGCAAGTTGGGCAGGAAACTAAAAGTGTGGTATCTTAGAAGCCAAGTAAAGACAGTGTTTCTAGGAAGAAAGAATGATCAACTGTTGGAATTGCTGATGGTAAGTCAGAAGAGGATTAGAATCAGTATGAGTATTAGCAGTTTCGGGGCCAACAACCCGTACAAACAAAAAATTTGTAACCAGCTTAAATTTGACATCTGTTAATTTTTTACTACACATAACATTTCCTTGTGTTTAAAAACTTCTGAAAAAAAATTTGTGAACATAACAGAAGGTAACAATACATAGTCTGTTAAAAAATAATTTAATTTTATCAAGGTTATAATGCAGTACCTGTAAGTCGGGGAACAACGGTTTTGTTGATGATAGTAGACAAGATTTTTTTATCTGAACTACTTTCCTTTGTTGAGTCTTCTACACTGTTATCCATAAATTCTTCTACAGATTTGAACCATGGCATCTCTTTTAAACCTGTGGAATCCAACTTACAAAGAAAATTATAGAAGTTATAAAGAAACCCTTCAAAATTAGTGTATTTTAAAATAGTTATTAATTTTTTCAATAATTACCAGAGCTTTTCTAAAGATCAGAGGAGATTAATTCCCTATTGTAACACTAGACTGCCAAGGCTAGGCAGGATGGCAGGACAGCATGACTGAGACAGGGTGTCTAAGCAACATAACAAGAAGCTGCATTTCATGCATTCAATCACACAACAAACGCTCGACAACTACCTAGTGTGTGCCAGAGCCTTTAGAGCCTACCACATGGCAAGTAGTCTGCTAGGAGCAAAATATACATTTGTTAGGCACTTGAAACAGTCATGGAATTTGTTTATTTAAAAAAATCCATCCACTTTAAGCAAAGTTTATTTCTGGCCACTTCAATTCTCGTAAGCATAAATATGTAATCTGTATGTGATTTAAAGGTCCTGTTACACAGTAGGCAGTTGTTGAGTTCATATTTCTTTTATTTCTTACCGTAGTCAGTCAAATTCAGTGAATTGAGTTTATATTTCTTAACTTAGGATCTAAATATCTGTGCAATTTCTAGCTCCTGAACTAATATTTCTCCCTTTATGCTTTTATGAAACATCTTTCCCTTTCTGTCTCATCCTGTTTATCCCATAAACCTTTCAAAGTCTTGTATTCAACCTCTTCAATGCAACCCTAAGCAACCCTTTCCAGTATGTCAACTCCAACTTAAGAATTCTTGAAACAAGGCTTTTATATCTACTTTTCCCAAACCCAACAGTACCTTATACTTTTTGGGAAGATTTTAAATTTAATATACAAGAAGCTAAAAAAAAAAAAAAATGTTTGCTTTACTGATGTTTAGTGCTGCCTCAGTCTAAAAATCCAGTGAAAGCCAAGAAAATAGGAATGTAGCTTAAAGCACACATTTTCTGACTATTGTTCCAAAGCTCTAAATTTCAGCTCCAACTCTAAAGGTAAGGTATTTAATAGTTAATATAACAGTAAGGGAATTTAAGTAACTAATATATAATCAGGATAGTTTTTCACATGTTAAGTATAAATACCTTAAGAGGATTCCAATCAATCAACTGAACTCGTATTAGGGGATTTAAAAGCTTCGGTATGCATAAACTAATAAAAGCTTCATAATAGGAGTCAGGAAACTTTTCTCGCCATTGCTGAAATTTCAACAAAATATTCTGGATGTTACAAAAATCATCATGCACATCTTCAAAAACTTTCTTCTGATCCTGTAAAATGTCACCTGTAAGCAAAATAAGTCTCTTTACTCACTTTAAGTTGTGAACTTTAAGTCTGCTTACTTAAAAACACAGCCATGAAGGACTGCGATCAATTGAGCTTTATTTGCCCTTTAATAGTAACATAAATTTTTATTAAAAAATTATTTTAGCAACAAAGTAATAATATCAACACTAATAAAAGCTACCATATATACCCCTGCTATAAGCCAACAGAAATATATTTATCTTATTTCACCATCGTAGCTATCTTTCCTACCATATAGGTATAGCCTACCAATTTACAGACAAAACAACATCAAATTTAGGGAGGACAAGAAATTTGTATAAGATTACACAGAATAAAATCTCCCTTAGAATCCAAATTTATTTAACTCCAGAGTCCAGAATCTTTCAACTATATGCATCTTATCTTCATATAATGCTAAAAAGATGAGAAGATATTTTCATAATATTTTAAATTAAAAATAATATACAAAGTATGTGTGGTAAAGAAATGACGATGTTCATTAGTAATAGGAGAAAGTCTAACAGAAAAAACTATGAAGATGCAAGAATACTCACTATGTTCCTCCTTCATTTTACTCCATTTTTTCAGAGGTAGGAAAAGTCTTACAGAGGAAAAATGTGTTTTGTTTCCTGAATTTGCCCAACTGTTTCATACAGATTATTTACTTATTAAGGGCAATCAAAGCAAAGTGTTCCTCATTGTCTCAAAACTCAAACCATGATATATTAGAAACCTGGTAACTGACCTTGGCTTTTTTGGAAGTCTATCATCTCTGTTGAAGACAATTCATCGTCACTAGATGTTCCTTCCTGATGGTTATAATTCCCAGAAAGCACCCTTGCTTGTTTTCTTTTTGTCCTATATTTTTCGACAAACCAAAAATAACAAAAAGTAAATAGCTCTTGCTGAAAATAAATGCTTCAAAACAAAATTTTTTTACCTCTTGCTGAAAATAAGCGATTTTATCATTTATTTTAATGGCTAGAAATATACTAACGTATCAACGTACAACTTTCTTTTTTTTTTTTTTTTTTTTTTTTTTTTTTTGAGACGGAGTTTCGCTCTTGTTACCCAGGCTGGAGTGCAATGGCCCGATCTTGGCTCACCGCAACCTCCGCCTCCTGGGTTCAGGCAATTCTCCTGCCTCAGCCTCCTGAGTAGCTGGGACCACAGGCACGCACCACCATGCCCAGCTAATTTTTTGTATTTTTAGTAGAGACGGGGTTTCACCATGTTGACCAGGATGGTCTTGATCTCTTGACCTCGTGATCCACCCGCCTCGGCCTCCCAAAGTGCTGGGATTACAGGCTTGAGCCACCGCGCCCGGCCGTACAACTTTCTTAATGTTTTTGACATTTTTAGTTTCATTTGAGTTGGTGGTTTTCCGTTTTTTTTTGTTTTTGTTTTTTTATAAGACATTCCCATGAGCTAACCAGATTCTGAAGAGGGAGTACCAATATAATTAGGACCGGTTTCTAGTTACGAGCAATCCCCAGCCTGATAAATGTCATTTTACCTATTCCTTTTAACTGATTAAAATATACCAGTATGTCTTTAAAGCAGTCAAGGATGGTTTTATTGAATTTTGCTTTTCTGTTATTCTCACAAATTAATAATATACATCAGGTATGGTTAATGATACCGTGTGGTTAATTATATTTAAGTAGTGAAAAGTACTTGCTCTATGATGCTTTCTTTAAATCTTCACTTTATATAGCTACCTTCGAGATTCAATCTCTTCTAAAATCCATTGAGTTTTTTCATCTACTGTGAAGTTTCCATTTGTGGATGTCTCATCTTTGTCTGTTAATAAATAAAAGTGACTTCATACTACAAATTCTCAAAAGAAAACAGTGAAATGCTTTGAAAATGAAGGTAATATCATGGAGGTATAAACATATATGCATATGTAAATATACAAATATACTTAAAAATTTTGCAATTTATTATGCGATGAAATTTAAATGTTAACTCTTTATTGCAATATTGACAGGCATGAGGTTCATTAGCCTAAAAATGTACTTTGGCTGGTGAATGTTTGGCACTTGAAAACAGTGACAAAGTTCTTCCACAAAGTTTCGTTTCCTCAAATTCTCTTCCAGTAGTTTTCACCACTTTTTTCCATAGCCAATTGCAAGAAATATTGGCTTTGCAAATACAGTAGTCCCCTCTAATCTGCAGGGCTACATTCCGAGAACCTCAGTGGATGCCAAAAACCACACATAGTGCCAAACCCTATTTGTTTTTCCCTTTATATACGTACCTATGATAAAGTTTAACTTACAAATTAGGCACAGTACAAGATTAACAATAGCAATAAAGTAGAACAATGGAAACAATATACTGTAATGTTAGTTACATGAATGTGGGGTAGTTCTCAAAATATCTTATTGTACTGTACTCATTCATTTTTGGGCCACTGTTGACTGGAACTGTGGAAAGGAAAACTGCAGATTAGAGGGACTACTGTATTCTAGTCACATTATTTCTTATTTTAATATATGACACCATTATTTACAATCCACTAAGGTCGTATGTTTCACTGAAAGTCACTCTGCCTTTGCATTTATTAGCTATTTGGTTATGGTCTTTTACTATCTCCTGACAGCATCTTAATCAAAGGAAGATATCTCTGAAAGTACAAAACCAATGTGGGAAAAAAAAGGAGGCATTCATATTTTATATAATGAGATCCTAAAGATAAATCTATATTGAAATTCACCAGAACCAATCTTTGAAAGGGATTTGAAACTATTAAGTTAGATTTCTGATAGACTTTACAGAATTTCATGAACTTATCTCAAAACATTCATTAAATGATTATGTAAATATTTTGCCTGAAATAGTAAGTAATAGGAAGTAATGTTTATTTTTTAGTCTTAGACTTAATTTAAAACATTATTAAGTCCTATTTCTAAATACGTTGAGTTTCTGGAAGTTGGTGGGTAAAGGGTTTGTGGGAAAATACACACAAAAAAGTTTATAAAAATATTTTTATTAGTCATATAACTTAGCTTAATGAATAAAAAACTATTGAACATGAAAAACACTAACGTGATAACTGTTGTAAATACGTTGATTCGTGTTTTAATTCATCTTGCCTGCGTTTCATAAAGGTCATAGCTTGTTTTAAAAGGAGTGTATGCATGGATGATTCTATTTCTTGGATGTTGATAATCTGAAATACATATACAAGTAACATTCTGCAGGTCATCAGTAATAAAATATATATACATATATATATATATATAAAGGTAATACTTACAAGATAATAAGCATATTTATATGCTCAATTCTCATACAAAGAAACATTCCTAATACTATCACAGCTCAATTATAAAACATTGTATGCAGCATACCTAGCTGCTAATACTTTTAATATTAAAAATCAGAAAACTGACTCAGTCTACTGGAACTGCTATAAATATCAGAGACAGTGAAACCAGTTGTGGGCCAGGTGCGGTGGCTCATGCCTGTTATCCAGCACTTTGGGAGGTGGGCAGATCACTTGAGGTGAGGAGTTCAAGACCAGCCTGGCCAACATGGTGAAACTCTGTCTCTACTAACAATACAGAAATTAGCCAGGCGTGATGGTGCCTGTCTTCAATCCCAGCTACTCAGGAGGCTGAGGCAGGAGAATTGCTTGAATCCTGGATGGGGAGGTTGCAGTGAGCTGAGACCGCGCCACTGCATTCCAGCCTGGACAACAGAACAATACTCTATCTCAAAAAAAACCAAAAAAAACAAAGAAAAAACCAAATGGATGGAGTCATGAACATGAATAAGAGTTTGAGATAGAAGATTTTTTTTCCTGAGCTAGAAGAATAGGTGAAAATTAAGAGTGTGGATGTTTTCACAGGCCTAGGGTGTGGAAAGTAGGTGGGGGCACTTGAAGCTGCTGAAATTTGAAAAATTGAGGAAGGGAGGAAAAACTAACCAGAGACAGGTAAGAAAGCTATAATGTGATACAGAAATGAGACTTGCTGAAACTGAAACTCTTGTATTTTGGGGAGCAACAATTTTTCCCACTCCATTGATATTCCACAGCTGCTGCTATGAATACATTCATGCACAGGATAACAAAATTTTAACTGTATAATTCTTCAAGGGTTAATGAAGAAGGAAAATTACATTGTAATAAATACTTCAAAAAGGATGTACCAAGTGATAGTAGAAGATAGCCAACTTAAAACAACAATTGGTACAAAGCATCCAGTTGTTTAGCAACATTTCAATTATAAATAAAAAATAATGTGGGCGAGCCCAATGGCTCAGGCCTGTAATCCTAGTACTTTGAAAGGCTGAGGCAGGTGGATTTCGTGACCTCAGGAGTTCGAGACCAGCTGGGAAACATGGTGAAACCTGGTCTCTACTAAAAATACAAAAAATTAGCTGGGTGTAGTGCTACATGCCTGTAGTACCAGTTACTTGGGAGGCTGAGGCATGAGAATCACTTGAACCTGGGAGGCAGAGGTTGCAGTGAGCCAAGATCACGTTACTACACTCCAGCCTGGGCGACAGAGCAAGACTCTGCCACCCCCCCCAAAAAATAAATAAAAATAATGTGGAAAGTAGAGTATAATTAATTGAAATGGTTAATCTATTTTTAAAAACGGACAACTGAAGGCCCCAATGTAAGAACTTAGTATGCATAAAACAAAAACTGAAAACAAAAATTTCAAAACAACTGAATGTTAAAAGAAAAACCATCACAAACAAATTCAAAAGACAAATCTGGAAGGTTTACATCAAGTAAGATAAAGCATTAAAAAATTTTAAGCTACAAAGAATTGTTCATACTCTAAGAAAATTAGAAAAGAAAAAGGAAAAATCTCCACTAAGAACCAAAAAGGTAACAGGACAAAGACAACAAACATAATTCACAAGAAAACTATAGAGTTTGCTTGAGATAAAAAGATGATACGTGAAAACAAAGTTTATTTCTTCCTAATCTAATAAACTAATAACACTGGAACAATCTTTCTGAAGGACAATTTTGCAATGTTTCATAAGTCTTGAAAATATTTAGACCTCTTAATTCATTTTCTTTGACTTCATTTTTAAGGGATTTTCCTTAAACAGATGTAACAAAAATTTACATATAAAATTTCATACAATGTTACTTATAATAATAAAATAACTACAAAAAACTTGAATATCCAACATTAAGAGAATGCTTAATATCATCTTATGTTAAAAACGTGTAGGAAAAATACTAGAGAAAGGAATACAATTGTGAGATTTAGACTTCAGACTTTTTTTTTTTTGAGACAGAGTTTCACTTTTCTTGCTCAGGCTGGAGTACAGTGGTGCAATCTTGGTTCACCACAATCTCTACCTCTTGGATTCAAGCAATTCTCCTGCCTCAGCCTCCCGAGTAGCTGGGATTACAGGCACATGCCACCATGCCTGGCTAATTTTGTATTTTTAGTAGAGACAGGGTTTCCCCATGTTGGTCAGGCTGGTCTTGAACTCCCAATCTCCCGTGATCCATCCACCTCAACCTCCCAAGTGCTGGGATTACAGGCATGAGCCACCATGCCCTGCTAGACTTTTCTTAATTGTGTGGTAAAGGGTTTTCTCCAACAAAGGAAATAATATAAATATTGATATGTACCTTTTCATTAAGGCAGTCAATTAAATTTTCCACATAAATTTTCATGCTTTTATAGAATTTGCAATTTAGAGCTTGATTTGATGAACTCTCTAGGTTCTGAATAGTACTCTTTGAGCTTTTGACATCCTGTACATATTTTTCATATTCCCTCAGGTGTGAGCGGTGAGTTTCCTGTAGTAATGTTAATCTAAATAAAAAAAAATAAAATTTATTTTTCAAAATTTTTTAAAAGTAGCAATCTAATGCAAATATTTTCAAAGACCACCAAGGAAACTGACAATCATATAAATCTGGATTTATAGACTTGACAAGCAAAGAGCACCACAATAAAAGAAGAAACCCTTTAGCACTTGTTTAGGCCAAATATTCTCTTCAAGTTTTCTTGCATTTATCTTTCATAATCTTTCTTCGCTTTATATAAAGGACAGTGAGAGTTAAGAAATTAATCAAGATAATAATATATAGTAGGCATTATTAATAAAGTGCTTTAATTAAGTAAAATATTGACTATAGTAGTGAACTTTTAAGTAAATATTATGTGGAGAAAGCTAGGTACAGAGAACAGTATATGATGTGTTTCCTTTTTTGTTTAAAAACAGGGGACTATATAAGCATATATGTGCTTGTAAAGCTATACATACAGACCACTTCTGGAAGAAAACATAAGTAACTGGCAGTGGCTAGGCATGATGGCTCACGCCTATAATCCCAGCACTTTGGGAGGCTGAGGTGGGTGGATCACCTGAGGTCAGGAGTTTGAGCTGCCTGGCCAACATGGTGAAACCCTGTCACTACTAAAAATAAAAAAATTAGCCAGGCATGGTGGCAGGCACCTGTAGTCCCAGCTACTCGGGAGGCTGAGGCAGGAGAATCACTTGAACCTGGGAGGTGGAGGTTGAAGTGAGCTGAGACCGTGCCACTGCACTCCAGCTTGGGCAACAGAGCAAGACTCTATCTAAAAAAGGAAAAAAAAAGAAAAGAAAGAAACTAATAGGAATGGTTTCCTCTAGAGAGGTTAATTTCCTTTGTTCTGTATATCCTTTCTACTGGTTATTTTATTTTTTAATCATGAGTGTATGGTCTTTTTAAAATGAAAAACCTAGTTAATAAAAAATATAATAAAGTATCCAGATAAAATAAAATGCTACTGTAAATCAATTATCTGCTGCCTCTTTTCTATCTCTCATGCAAGGTTATCTTTGTATTCTGGGGCTTGGCAAATTATTAGCCCATCCTTTGTTTTTATACATAAAGTTCTATTGGAAAATAGCCATGCTTATATGTTTACATATTGTCTATAGCTGTTTTCATGCTATAACACAGAGTTGAGCGGTTAAAACAGCAATCATCTAGCCCTTAAAGCCTAAAATATTTACTATGCAGCTTTTTACAAAAAAAGACACTTGCTGACTCCTGTTCTAGATCAAAATGTCCAGCAGAGAAATACTTAATTATGATATAACAACTACTTGGAAACAAACATAACAGTTTTTAAAAAAATTAAAGGCTATTTGGTAATTTAAAAAAATGCTTAAAACCGTATTAAATAAAAAAGTAGAATTTTGTATTTACTGATTTTAACCATGAAAAGTATGTTATAAAGACTAAAAAAGACAGGGTAGTACCCCCTTAATTATGGGGACATGTTCCAAGACCCCCAGTGAATGCAAATAATACTGAAGCCTATATATGCTGTTTTTTTTTCCCTACACATACATAACTATGATGAAGTTTAATTTATAAATTACATACAGTACTTTTGTACTCTGGGGCCACTATTAACTAAAATAAAGGTTACCAGAACACAAGGACTGTGATACAGCAATAGTCCCTCTGGTAACGAAGAAGGTTACTATGTGACTAACAGGCAGTTGGCTTACAGAACAAAAAGATGCTGGACAAAAGGATGATTCTCATCCTGGGCAAGATGAAGCAGGGTAGCTTGAGATGTCATTACACTACTTAGAAGAGCATGCAATTTAAAACACATGAATTATTTCTGGAATCTTCCATATAATATTTTTGGACCATGGTTTGATCACTGATAACTGAAACTACAGAAGACAAACATACAGATATAGAGGGGACTACTGTGTACAAAAACGTAATCAACTGTGTTAGTATAACACAGGAGATCCTTTTTTCCCCCTATAAGTCTGTTTAATATTAAAACTTAATAATCTAAAAGAATATAGTGCTATGTCTTCACTATTAGATATCTAGGACAAATGTAAATTTCAAAAGGAGTATTACTCACCTAGTATTTAATTGCTTCTTTATAATTTCTAAATTTACTGGTGGAAATGAAATGGAAGTATCAAATTTCTTTACTTTTGAAGATCCGCAGCTATGGGAAAGATCTACGTCTCTTTCCTAAAAAAAAAAAAAAATAAACATAGATTTTTAAAAAACCACTCAATTTACCTTATAAACATTAATAGCATGAAAAGGGACTGGATGATCCACAGTCCCTTCAAGCTAAAGAATTCCATGCATTTGTAATTTTTCATGGTCCCAATAAAATGTTTTTAAATTCACAGTTTTACATTTTAGAAGTTAAAATTCACAAATTCTAAAAATCGTATTTTTTAAAAAGCTTAGTTTTGAAGCTAATTTTGGTTATCGTCTAATGTACTCACAGAAAGTCAGCCAGTTTTTGAAGAAACAACAATCCTTTGTGAATATTTATTTGTGGGGTAGACAGACCTGTCTGGCTAACCTAACACCTATTTCCATGATAGAAGTATCTATTTAACTTCAACTCCATTCTAGTCAATGAAAAATAAATGGAAGTCCATGGAAGGGTTTGTAGGTAAAGTTTTTACTTTTCTTTAAGACATTCTTACTTGTGTTTTCTGTTCCTTGTAAGGAAATGCACTCCTAACTTATAACATGGCATATTCCATATTAATGTCCTCTGTCTAATCACAGCTCATCACCACCATGCTTGGAATGTTCAAAAGATCCTGAAGAACCTTTGTTTTAGACAAATATGAAAAAAATCGAGCAGATATTTAGCCAATTTCACTGGTTTAGCTACTCTTTATTTTCCATGAAGCATCATCTTTTCTCATTTCAGTTCTCACCAAGCCTCCCATCCAGCACTACTCATATCTACAAATCTCCAAACATTCTTGATATTTTACAGTCAACGACCCATTCAAATATCACCACTTCTGTAAAGGCTTTCTCAAACTTGCTCATCTACCTTCCCTCCTATAAAACTGACCACCCACTTGCTCCTCTGTGCCACTTTATGACCCTGCAGAGAGTTCTCTCACAGAACCAGTAGGATTTCACTATAATTATTTTGTTTAGCTGTCTCCCTTCCCGCACCATTAGCAGGCTAATGGTGACCCCACGAGAAATATGTTCATGTTTGATATATGGCAAAAGATGTAATTAAAACTTTGAGACTTGGTGCATAGCTTGGATTATTCGGATAGGGCCTGAATACAATTAAATGTACCATTCTAAGAGATAGGGAATTTTAGGATACAACAGAAGACACAGATGTGAAGAGGGAACAGAGAGTGATACGGCCGCAAGAAAAGGCATGCCAACAACCACCAGCAACTAGAAGAGTCAAGTAGTGGATTCTCTTCTAGAGCTTCTGGAAGCAGGGTTGCTCTACTAACATTCTGATTTTGGACTTCTGGCCTCCAGATCTCAGAGAGAATAAACTTCTCTTACTTTAAGCCACTAAGTCTGTGGTAGTTTGTTACAGGAGTCACAGGAAACTAATACAGTGGCAAATAGTGGATTTTCAGTAAAGGAATCAGTAAATGTACTCATATAAGTAATAAAAATGCAAATCAAGTAAGTGTGAGATTCCATTTTCACCAATTATATACTTACACTTGAAGAGGCCAAGTTTATGGTAAAATATTCCCATGATATTGGAGACATTACAGATTGAGCTGTTTTCTTTAGAAGGCAATAGAGAAAAATACACTAAGTGCCATAAAAATTGTTCATCTCTTGATTAATAATACAATTCTTGGCAGTTTTTAGAAAGGAATAGTTCAAAAACACACATCTGAACAAAAGAAAGGAGAGGAGGAAAAATAACTAAATCTTCACTGATTATTATCTGTTAATAGAAAAAAAATCAGATTGCAAATAACCTAAAAATCCAAAATAAAGAATGGTTAATAAGATTATGATTTAGTGACTCCAGTGAATATTATGAAGCTATTAAAATTGGTTATTATAACTATGTAAAGAGAAGAGAAAGTACTCTATAATATGTCAAGCAAGGAAATCAGAATTCAAAACTGTACACATAATGTGGTTCCTAAATTGTGTGCAAAGGCATCCTAGCAAATTCAAAGGGGTATAGTGAGACATTTTAAATATTTTAGGGAAACAATGCAATACTCAAAATCTGCTGGACTAGTAGCTCTTAGTTCACAGTTACATTAAAATGTGTCCCATATGGCCAGACATGGTGGCTCACGCCTGTCATTCTAGCACTTTGGGAGGCTGAGGTTGGCAGATTGCCTGAAATCAGTTTTGAGACCAGTCGACGCAACATGGTGAAACCCATCTCTACTAAAGACAAAAAAATCAGCGTGGTGGCGTGTGCCTGTAGTCCCAGCTACTCAGGAGGCTGAGGCACAAGAATCGCTTGAACCCAAGAAGCAGAGGTTTCAGTGAGCCGAGATCATGCCACTGCACTCCAGCCTGGGCAACAAAGTGAAACTATCTCAAAAACAAAAACAAAAACAAAAAAGAATGTGTTTCATTCCTTTTGATGAAGTCATATTTGTGGAGCTTGATTTTGGGAGGATACTATGACATAAAATAAGTATTACATGAATATCAATATAGAAATGAGAGTGGCAGTGTCCAACCTGATTCCAAGGTTTGAAAGTCATGAAGAGCACACATCTCATTAGTAAGAAATTTTGGTTATTTAAAAATAAAGTAAGCCAGGTGTGGTGGCTCACGCTGGTAATCCCAGCACTTTGAGAGGCCGAGGCAGGTGGATCACTTGAGGCCAGGAATTCAAGACCAGTCTGGCCAAAATAGTGAAACTCTGTCTCTATTAAAAATACAAAAATTAGCTGGGTGAGGTAATTAGCACATGCCTGTAATCCCAGCTACTAGGGAGGCTGTGGCAGAAGTACTGCTTGAACCAAGGCGGGTGGAGGTTGCAGTGATCTGAGATCACACCACTGCCGTCCAGTGGGAAACAGAGCAAGACTCTGTCTCAAAATAATAATAATAATAAAAATTTTTTGCCTTCAATTTGTATTATTTTTCCAAATGGTTAGTTCTTAGGACATAAATTGTATAAAATTCTTTGGACTTAACTACTTAATGAATATGACTGTTTGGTACTTCTTTTGACTTATGAGCACCATGATAAAATTACCAAGACACTAATGGCTCCATGAATGAGAAAGTTTGGGAAACTGTAATGTACACTGATTGCAAACTCTAATGTACACTTACAGAACTTATATTCCAGCAGCAGACTCAGAGCCCAAATCTACAACTTTTAACCCCCAATATAGTACATTTTTGTTTCTTAGGTTTGTTTCAAAGCTCATTACTTGTTTAAACTTTACATTCATTCATTTATTCATTCATTTTTAGTGACAGGGTCTCACTGTTGCCCAGGCTGGAGTGGAGTGGTGTGATCATAGCTCACTCCACCCTTGAACTCTTGGGCTCAAGTGATCCTCCCAGCTCAGCCACCCAAGTAGCTGAGACTATAGGCATGTCCCACCATGCCTGCCTAGTTTTATTTATTTTTTATAGAGCTCAGGGCTCACTGTGTTGTTCAGGCTGGTCTCAAACTACTGGGCTGAAGTGATCCTCCTGCCTTGGGCTTCCAAAGTGCTGGAATAACAGGTGTGAGCCACTATGCCTGGCCAAATCTGTGATTTTTTTTGACTTTTTTTCTTAAATGAGACAGAGTCTCACTCTGTCACCAAGGCCGAAGCGCAGTGGCACAATCTCGGCTTACTGCAGCCTTAACCTCATGGGCTCAAGCGATCCTCCTAACTCAGCCACCGCAAGAAGCTTGGACTACAGATGTGTGCCACCATGCCTGGCTAGTTTTTCTATTTTTTGTAGAGGCAGGGTTTCGCCATGTTACCCAGGCTGGTCTTAAACTCCTAGACTCAAATGATCCAAGCCTCAGCCTCTTGGGCTTTGGTTTCTAATAACATTTTTAGGGCTTCATAGTATCCCATCCTGCTGTATTGTACCAAGATCCCCGTTGTTGGATATTTGTTTACATCTTTTTAAAAATTAAATAAAACCAAAAATACATTTGTGTATGCAGAAATGTAACACAGTTATGCATCATAATTTAGGTATAATGTATTTGGGCATAATATTTACCACAGGGTTCACTACAACAAAAAATTCTCTGAGAAATCACATAAATGTCAAATGAGATTTAATATATAAACAATACATCTATTTACTAGACTGCTATGAAATCATTAAAACGTAGAAGTAGATGTACCATTGTGGTGAGATGTCTCTGTTGTACTGTGAAGTGAAAAAAAGAGTTTCCAAAGAGAAAATTGGATTTATATTATACAGAACAGGTATTTAAAAGTAAAGTTTGAGGCCTAAACTTTTAAGTACCTGTATAATATAAACTGTCAATTACTAAAAAAAACTAAAGCTTAAAAAGAAAAGTACCCTCAAGTGGAGGCTATTTATAATCTAGTGGAAAAATAACATAATATGCACCGTGCAGTGGGCTTAATGGAGGCCTCCCAAAAGATACATCCATGAATTAATCCCCGGAAAGTATAAATATGACCTTATTTGGAAAAAGAGTCCTTGTGGTTGTAATTAAGTGAAGTACCTTGGATTATCTGAGTGGGCCCTAAATTTAATGACAAGTATTCTTATGAGGAAAACACACAGTAGAAACATGGAGAAAGCCACGTGAAGACAGAAGCAGAGATAGGAGTTATGTAGTACAAGCCACGAAACACGTGGAGTCACTAAAAGTTGAAAAAAGCAAGGAAAAATTACTCCCAACACCCCAGGGCCTTTGGAGGAAGCAAGGTGCTACCCACACCTTGTCTTCAGATTTTGGCCTGCATGCTGTGAGAGAATAAATGTCTGTTCTTTTGTGTGGGTCAAGATGGCCAGGGGGAGACCTATGTTAATTCTAGCTAAATAATTATAAGCTTGCTTGGCTCAGGGTACACTGAAGTTTATACACTAAACTAAACTATATTATTGGTGCAGTTAATTAGAAATCAAGTAAAGACCATCCGAGAGCACAGTAACAATGGGGAACACCTCAGGGTGGCTGCAGAGCAGGCAAGATACTGCTCTGGTCCCACAAATGCCTTCTCAACAGAGACTGCACGAGGGCCTTGTAAAGAGGGCTTACGCAAAGATCTCTGAAAATGGAGGTGACCTCTACTCACAGGATCTGGGAGGGTATTTGCAGAAGGGAGCTGGCAAGAAGAAAAGCCTTGCAGGGCAGAGGTCACAGAATACCTCAGGCTCTGCCTAGGTTCTCAGAATATGTAGTGATTTTAATTGCTCTAAGTCCTCAATTCTCAGGAGATAAATGCCCCTTGTTGCATTGGGAGTGGTCAAACCGGGTGGCTCCTCATCCACTATACTTCTGTTGCAGCTGCACTGTGATAACAATCCGTGATAAACTCAAGAGTACGTTTAGCATGTCTTAGAAGGATCTCAAGTGCTGTTGGATGCTCAGAGCACTAGTTTAGGGTGTCTTACAAGGATCTCAAGTGCTCTCCACCTGGCTACCTTACCTACTTCTTTACCCTCCCCTTCCATGCCCATAAAATCAATGAGATTGTGCACATAATAAAAGTGTTTGGAGCCCAGAGCTCGAGGCCAACATGTTTTCCACACTTGGATTGGTCCCCTGGACCCATGCTGTAACTTCTCTTGTGTCTCTGTCTTTATTTTCCTTTCTCAATCCCTCGTCACTGCCATCATTAAGAGCACCTACGTACAGGGTTGGGCTGGTTCCCAACATCTGGCGCCCAATGAACAGGGTATGGTACCCTACGAACAACACTTTTGCGTCACCAAGTTTGTGGTAATTTGTTATAGCAGCCACAGGAAACTAATATACATGGTATAAATAATGATTACCTCTATGATTTTAACTGCTTTCCTCATTTGTTGTTGTACCCAAATATCTTGCTTTTCATCCTCCTGACTTTCTTCACTTGTTTCTTCATATCTGTTTTCTAGGGGAAAAAAAGTTCACATGTAAACGTTTAATATTATTTCATTTTAATTGCAGCAACCAACATTTTTTGAGCTTACTATATACAGGCTTAGTATCACTTTACATGTGTTATTTATTCTTCACAATAATTCTGGGAAGAAGGCACTATTATTGCCCTCATTTCACAATTAGGAAACTCAGATATTGGGAGGTTAAATAACTGTCTTAAGACTATGTTGACGCTGGAAGTTGGATCCTGGGATCTGACTCCAGAACCTGCCCTTTATCACCAAACTGTCCCACTCAAAACACTACAGCCCTAGAAATATAAAAAACTGAGAAAGAGCTAGGCACAGTGGCTCAGGCATGTAATCCCAACACTTTGGGAGGCCGAGGAAGGTGGATCACCTGAAGTTGGGAGTTCGAGACGAGCCTGACCAAAATGGAGAAACTCCATCTCTACTAAAAATACAAAGTTAGCCAGGCGTGGTGGCACATGCCTGTAATCCCAGCTACTCGGCAGGCTGAGGCAGGAGAATTACTTGAACCCAGGAGGCGGAGGTTGTGGTGAGCCGAGATACTGTCATTGCACTCCAGCCTGGGCAACAAGAGTGAAACTGTCACAAAAAACAAACAAACAAACAAACAAACAACTGAGAAAGAATGAAATGTTTGGTTTTTCTTATCAAAGATCTCTCAATTACTACCTGAGAATCAAAAAACTTAAAAATAAGTTGTAAGGAACTAAGTGTTTTTCTGAAAAAATATTATTTAAGGTTACAAAAACCTTGGTAAAATGCATATATTATAAATGAGAAATGTGAAGAAATTTTTTATTATAGCAGAGATTTTAATAGATGACATCTAAAATCTCTGTAGATGCTTTCATGTTAAAAAAAAATTTATAAATGTGACAATGATAGTTTTCAATGTTTTGAAAGTAAGATACTGCACATTTTTTTAACCTGTTAAAAAAGATCAAGGAGGGGTCAGACATTAATAACCATTATTACACATCCTTTAGAGGTCATAATATCATGGATCAAATTGATATTAAAAACCAATATCAACACTCTACAATGTGAGGCAGCACATTACATTTTTCATGGAGATTCACTCATATTATATTCTAATGAAAAATAACCTAAGCTTCATATATTGATAAATACATACTTGATTCCTCAACCATCCTTTGTCTAAGTGTTTGAGGTTTCAGGGTAAACGGTATTCTCTTTTCATGGTCATCAGACTCACTCTCAGGGTCATCTTCGCTCTCTTTCTGCATACCAGAGATGGTGGAGGCATGTTCCACATCCAAAGAAATATAGTCATCTTGCATCCTGGTCAATTCACGTTTTCTGCGAGCTGCCTGAATAAAGGCTGCATCTGGGATCTCAACTGAAGGAAACAAAGAGGAGGACACTAAAAACCAGAGACCAATGTAAGTAAATATTCCTCACATTTAAGAGAAAGAAAACAAGCACCATTTTCCTAAAGTATTTCCGAGAGCTGCGGAAGTTAAGAATCAATGACAGACCAGTCTGACTTACCAAGTAAGAGAGATACTACACTATGACGTCCTCCTTCCCTGTGGGCACCCACACTTGTAAGAAATCAGAAACAGTCTACAAACAGCAACAGAGTAAAGCCAAGCCAGCCTCTGCAGTTCTGTAGTGAGCCCCACATGAATAAACATGAGACGTTACAAAGTGTAAAGAAAATAATCAGGTTCATTTACCAGGTGAAAAATTTTAAATGACAACTCTTAAGAGTCTTATCTTATTTTTTCCTTTGTTTTGTACAGTATAAACATCATTAACATAAACTCTTACAATTTAAAACAAGTTTTTTCATGCATGATCTAAGATGAAATTTATCTTCATTTTGGAAAAGACGGTTTCTTAAGAAAAATACTACATTAAAGAAATGGCAAGAGAAATTTTCACCATTTTAAGCGCTTAAACTACTAAAGAGATGTCAAGCTACTGAGGCTCAAGTGAGTTTTCTAAATGCTCCCACAAATTGACCCAAATTCTTTAAAAAATAAACAGAAAAATGCCATGTACTTGGAGATGCACAAAATCTTCAATGTCTGAAACAAACAAAAAAAGAGATTTTAGAAATCACAGACCAATATGCTTGGCATCAGCCCTAGGGAAAATTAAAAGTGCTTGAGTGAATTATGAAGCAATAAAGAAATCACTAGAAATCAATAAATATTTATCAAGAACAAGTAATATAAAATCAGGTGATTTACTTTTTTATAGACTGGCATTTATTTATAGACTACTGTCAAGGACATGATGAAGGTCAAGTATCTCTTCCTCCTTCCAAAGCTTTTAAGATTCAAAATCATCACAGGTTATGGTAAAAATTCTCAACCCTGGCTACACATCTGAGTTATCTGAGAAGCTTGACAAACTACTGATACCCAGGCCTCCATACCAGAGATTCCGATGTTGATCCGAGGCAGAGCTAATCAGAAGTATGTTTTTATAGCTCCCTAGAGGATTTTAATGTGTAGGCAGGGTTAAGATAAGACATTTTGGTTCAAATACTCAGGTGTATGAATAAGGACACAGAAATACTTATTTTGGAAGTGATCCACCTGCAAATGACTTGGTGGGGTTTAATTAGTAAGTCACAAGTAATGGGACTCACTAGTAAGATATTAGTGCTATGTAAAGGTAAACTCTCAAGCAAAAATAAAAAAGTAAAAGTTCAAGGAAGAGAAGAGTATTCCATCTGTCCTGTTTCTGCATATCCAATACCTAGTTCAATGGTTCTCACACAGCAGATGGTGGGCAGACATGGGATGAATCAATAAGGTCAGCATATTTTTCAATAATAAATACATCACGTTTTTACAGATTTATAATTCATGAATAATTCTTCATATACATCATCCTATCTCATATACAATCATCTAGGGCTTAGAGGTAAATTATCATCTCCTATTAGTAAAAAGCAATCTCTGCTAGAGGGACTATTTCAAGGCAGGTATTCCATCACCTGAACACAGAATAAAGGCCAGCACCTAAGATTTACATATTCCTCCATCTTTTCTTCTCCAGCCAGTAAGTCCTTTGAACTTTCCGGTGTTCCTAACAGGACAAGTTTTCAATTTTTAATCAGTGTTTCTCAATGGAGCATGGGGGTGGGGCAATTCACCATGCCGAACTGTTCTGCACTCCTGTAGGACATTTATCAGCCCTTGCTTCCAGGGCACTATGTGCGAGCAACAACTCAACCACTATAATTATTAAAATGGTACCATACATTTTCAAATGATGCCTTCTCTTCTTAGGTGGGCAGTGCTGCCAAAACACTTTACAATCACTTCTTTATGCTATTTAATACACCAACACCATCTTTTTTTGGATTGTTTGAGATGGAGTCTTGCTCTGTCACCCAGGCTGGAGTGAAGTCGTGTGACCTCGGCTCACTGCAGCCTCTGCCTCCCAGGTTCAAGCCCCCTGAATTACAGGTGCGTGCCATCATGAGCAGCTAATTTTTGTATTTTTAGTAGAAATAGCTTTTCACCATGTTGGCCAGGATGGTCTTGAACTCCTGACCTCAGATGATCCACCTGCCTCGGCCTCCCAAAGTGCTGAGATTATAGGTGTGAGCCACCACACCTGGTTTAATCCACCATCCTGTATAGTAGCATTGTTTGGTACAGTAGTCACTAGCCCGATGTGACTATTAAAATATAACTAAAAATTCAATTTCTCAGTTGCACAATTTCTCAGTCCCACATTTCAAGAGCTCAACAGCCACTTGTGACTACTGGTTACCATATGGACAGTGAAGATAGAAAATTTTTCTAAACCACAGAAAATTCTACTGAATAGCACTGTATCCAGAATCTAGCCAAGGCTTCAACTGTTTACTAGATTTCAATTCTTAATAGTGGCTTAATCACTTAGTATTTCTGTACCTTGTGGACAAGAAGAAAAAAAAAATTATAAGGTTACAGAGCTACTGGTTGTTGTTATTTAATAGGCTAATAAAGAAGCACTTATTACTGTATTACAAGCCTTATAAAATACATTTTAATAATTTTATTTCAATATAATTTGTTTCCTTTGCAAAGCTACATCTTTTACTTTATTTTCTCATAAGGGATCTTAGGCTTCACTATACTGAAAAAGGAAAAAACAAGTTATAAACCTCTTTAAGAGACCCCAAAATATTTTTGACTTTGTAGGCCATAAGGTCTTTGTTGCAATTCCTCAACTCTACTGCTACAGTGCAAAAACACTCACAAACAGTAAGTACTTGAAAGACTGGGACTGTGTTTTAACAAAACTTTCTTTACAAAAACGGGTGGTGGGCTAGATTTGCCAACCCCTGAACTACATTGATCTTTCTAAGACATAAAAACATTCATGTCATCCGCATAAAATTTTCAGTGGTTGCCTGAGCCCTGTATAAATATGACTCCAACTTGTCCCTCCTGTTTTTTTTCCTTAAACTCCCAACCAAATACTTTCAGCCAAACGAGCTAGTTTTAGTTTCCTGCACATATTACATACCTTCTCTAGAGTTTCAGATATATTACATCCTATACCTGAAACATCCTCCATGACAAATTCTTACCATCCTTCAGGTATCAGTGTCAATCACCCAGTATAGCACACAGGTTAAGAATAATACAGGTTCTAGAAAAGACTGAGTTTAAATCCTAGCTCTGATACTTAATAAGCTGTCGGACCTGTGCATGTTAAAATGTAATAAAAATGAGCAGTCAGTTTGGGCACTCTGACCACCATCATTAATAACCTACTTGCCTCATGTCACTAGAGTTTGTTTTGCTATTAATAATAACTATATCAAAAACACTGTATTAAAAATAAAATTCTTAACCAAAATCATACAAATTACTAACCTGCTGATGGAAGTTCTTTTTCTCCAAGAGAGCTAGCGCTGTCAGAAGACAAACCCTGATCATCCTTACTTTCCGAGGAATGATGTATTTCATCCTCTTCATCTGTTGACACATCAACTGTTCTGGATTCTAACAGGACATTTTAAAAACATAATGAGAGTCAAAATAATGGAATCAGTAATTGAAAATCTGAACAACACATGGCATACGTATAATATGGTGTTTTAAACCTACTCCACATATTAAAGTAGACTTATTGATCTTCCTCCAACTTCCCATCTTCCTTAAACAACTGAATGATCTACTAAGTGTACAAAGATCCTACCTGTATTATCTAGGCATCTAATAATATATTTCTAAAAAGATTTAATGAGAAGAGAGAAGCAGGCATTATAGAAAAAAAAAAGAGACAAAAATTGAATATTTAGAAAAGTAATAATAGAGAACAAGTAGAAAAGAAAAACAATAATGTATACTATGTGCTAGGCACATTGAAATCTGTTTTACATGACTTATTTAATACTCATAATTCTATAAAGTAAATGCTATTTCTGATGAACTAAGGATGGAAAGGATAAAGAATACCAACACAATGAGTGGAGAAGCAGGGCTTTCAACCTAATCCCATCCAACTCCAGAGTTTAGGCTCTCTTTAGAGTATGCCATAGTTCAATGGCTGGTAGTAAGAAATACTGTAAGGAGCACTTTGGTCAAAATTAAACCACGGGTTTATCTTTTCAGTGCATGATTTGGGAAGGTCACATAGTCTGTTAAATTGAATTAATCTGTTAAATATAACACCGAGGTAAAAACCACAGGGGTGTTGTGAAAATTCAGTGAACAAAATAAAGGAATTCTTGGCATTATTGCCAAGAAAGGATTTGTTAATCCACAATAAATTTGCATGTTTATGAGTAATCTTAAAACATAAGATGACATAGTACTCATTAATTTTAATTTCTACCTTAGTTAGAAGACCTACATACAGTTCAAAAAAGGCTAGAGTAAAATCAAAACTTAAAATATAGCTGCAGCTCACATCTTTCTTAGACAACTGCCATTTATGACAACCCATACCTGTTTCCAAAGTGGATTAACACCAAAGCAGTGGTTCTCAAAGCATGATTTATCAATCCCTGGAGGTCCTTGAGACTCTTTCAGAGAGTCTGGGAAATCAAAACTACTTTAATCACAATACTAACATGTTATTTGTTGTTTTTGCCATGTTGACATTTATCTAATGAAGCAAAGGCAGTGGTGGGTAAAACAGCTATCCCCTTAGCATGAATCAATTTGTAGTAGCAGTTACGGTATTTTTCATCACTGCACACTGGCAGATAAAAGCCAGTTGCTCTTCATAAAGTAATTAAAAAATTCTTATTTTATTAAATTTTGACCCTTGAGTACAATTGAGTGTTTAATATTCTTTGTGACAAAATGGAAGCATGCATAAGGCACTTTGTTTGGCTGCATCTTGATATGTTAACGGCTGCCTTACGAAAAAGCATTTGTGTGACTGTGCTGCAAGCTGAACTAGACATTGTTTTTAAGACATTCATTTTCTTCAAAGAATGACTAACAAACAGTTATTCAGGCATGGCTATCTTACATTTCCTCAGACATGAGCTAAGTTGTACCTATCATTTCCAGAGTAAGAGATTTCAAGTGAAAATTAAGATTTTGAAAAACCTATTTTCTACTGTGAACCTAACAGCTTTCCAATACTTAAAGACTGATTAATCAGTGGTAATACTAAGTAATTTTTATTTTTCTTTTGGTGTTGTACAATAAAATGCTCCAACGTTTGCAAGAGCTGCAAACTGAGGTAATGAACTTTCCAAATAATGCAAGACGTTACCAATTGTGCATGAGTAAAAGATCCAAAGTACAAAACAGAACAGAGTTTTATTTATTAAATTTAACCAAATTTAATCCTATGGTTTAAGATTACATGGAACAGCTAACTTTTAAGAATGGTTAGTTTATTACTCTTTGAGCTTTGTCATATTAAAGCACAACATCCTCAATGATCTAAAAAGGCTATTAAGTATTCATCTTAACCATGGATCTGTCAGAGCCTGTATTTTCTTCAAATTCTTCAACCAAAACAACATAGCACAACAGATTAAAAGCAGAAACAGCTATGAGAATTCAGCTGTCTTCTATTCATATTTTGCCAGATATTAAAGACATTTGCACATTGAAAACAATGCTACTATCCTTTTTGAGAAATATTTTTTCACAAAAATCTTCTGTCCTTACAGGTAACAGATTTTTTAAATAAATTAATACATTTGATTTTTGTTTTTAGTATGGTAAATATTGATAGACATAACCTACTGAAACAAAAGCTCTTTGGAATCCTTAATCATTTCTAAGAGTCTAAAGGAGGTCCAAATACCAAAAAGTTTGAGAACCACTATTCTAGAAGGCAAGAGAACACACAACTCCTGACTTCAATTTTCATCTACAAAATTTAACCAGAGAACAGAGACAAAAATAATGGAAACTTTAGACAAATAGAAGGCCACAAGGAAAACCAAGAAATCACGAAGATCATAAACCTGGAGGATAATCATGTTACGTGACATAAAAAAGGCAAAGAGAGACAAACATCTCAGATCTCAAATGTGTAATCTACAAAGGTGGAAATCAGAAATCACAGAAGCAGAGAGTCTCCTAGTGTTTAGCAGGGACTGGGGTTGAGGGTGGTTGGGGAGATACTGGTCAAATAGCACAACATTTTAATCAGACAAGAGGAATTCTATCCTACAACACAGTGACTAAAGTTAATAACAATGCACTGCATACTTGAAAATTACTAAGAGTAGATTATTAAGTGTTCTCACCACAAAAAAAGTATCTGAGGTAATGCAAATGTTAATCAGCTCCATTTAGCCACTGTAGACACATTTTGAACATCATATTGTACACCGTAAGTATACACAATTTTTCTTCTCAATAAATTAAAAATCACTTTGATGAGAATAAAAAATAGTAGGAAGATTCAGATCTCAAGACTAACCAAAAACTGTATTCCTCATTAAGCTACAATTCAAACTCAGAGTAGCACATTTTATGTAAACAACTTTAGGCTGCCTTAAACCTGTATTTAAGAACTCAAAGGTACTTCAAAATGACAACACTATATTTAACACCATTACTGGCAAAATCTACAGTGTCATGAATCTCTATCATGGTCCTTCGTGTTGCATATATTATTTTTATTAGTTTTTGCAAATAATTGGTTAAAAAAGAAAACAAGCAAAGGGGGATATTCCAAAACCTCGATTCTGGCTAAATGTTTTCAAGAAACATAAGTTGGGCAAGGGCCTAAAACGTACATATAACTTCTGCCTACTTAATAAATTATTGAACTCCGCTGTGACAAGTTAGGTCCTTCATAAACTTCGATGACACAGTTACCTAGTGGAGTCATCTGATGGTGAAAACGAACTTCCAAACTGTACGGGATTGCTTATTCTCCCCTAAGGAGTCCAAAAGCCAGCCGCAGGCAGCGGTCAAGTGCTCGCAGGCCAGCTGTTGACTCGCTCACTACCTTCAGGACGTGACTGCATGGCTGGTGGTCGGTAGCAAGTTACAGAACCCCTAGAGAAGGATCCAGAGACCCCGCGGCCCTTCCCGCCCCGTGCCGTCACCTCCCCGCTTCCCCGCGTCACCTTGGACGCCCGAGCCTTGGTCCGCGCGGGGAGCCGCTTCCGTGGCGCGGCGGGAGCTCGCCCAGACTCGGCCCCGGCCGCGAGGCCCCCGAACCCGGTGGGGCCGTCCCGCCACCTGCGCGCGGCCTCCTCCAGAGGGCGGCCCTTCCTCCGCGGGGCCCGGGGCCGTAAGTTCCCTCGACGTCCCAGGTTCAGCAGGCGACTCCTCAGCGCCATCGCTGTCGCTGGAATCGGCCGCGCGCCGCCGAAAGTTCCTTGTCGGTCTGTGAGCCATGGCTGAGGGCCCAGCGCCCTAGTACCCAGCGCACCCCAAGGCCGAGCTTCAGCGCCGGTACCCAGCGAGCGCGCGCCCGCCCCGCCTGGACGTCACGTGCGCGCGCCCGTGCCGGAGCCTTCTACTTCCCGCGGCTCCGTGTGCGCCTGCGTGCTTTGGCTCCCGGATCTAGTGGGTTGGGTGGTTCTCTGGGGCCTGAGTGTGGCGTCCGGAGCGGCAAAGCGGTCCCTTTGCCAGGTGAGGTTGCGGGGACTGACACCTAGAGAGTTCCAAGGCGTCTCCGGGCTGAGTCCCACGGAGAGCAGACCGTACCTGCTCTCCTTGCGCACACCCTATCCAGGAGTCAGGCGTTATGCTTTCCGTCCTGGACTAGAGCCAAATCCGTTGTCTTTTTTTTTTTTTTTTCTTTCCTGAGAGAGAGCCCCTTCAACCAAGATTTAAAACAAATGAAACCCCAGTAGTGTGAGGCTCGGGGTAGAAGGAGATGCCTCTGAGAGCAAAACAGTATAGTCTTTACGAAAACAGTGCATACAGACGAGCAAAAATCAGTGACTTCCCCCAGGCCGCAGGGCTTCAAGAGAACCTCATTAAATACTTTCGCCCTTAAAGAAAGTATCTAAAAGCAAAAAAAGTCTATTGTCAGAGGCGAATTTGTACTATACTCATTAAGCTGTGTCTAGAGAAAGGAAGCCTCTACCATGAATTTTCAGTGGTTGACCCCCTTGGTAAACTGTTATTTGGATGCCTCTGACTGTCTACACTGGAGCAATTCATCCAGTTCATTTATCCCTCTTGGTGCAGTTGGTTCCATGCTCAGCTAAGTTTCTGCCTCTGCTTTGGAGTACAGGGTGTTCCAAGGTCTTCACAGAAGGGGATATTTTAAGGGATTAAATTTCCAGACTCTCAGTTCTGTTAAAAGGAAAACCTTAAACAAATTAATTTAATAGATTTTAATTGAGCAAAGGACGGTTCACAAATCACAGACCCCCAGACCAGAATAGGTTCAGGGGCAGCGCCATCGCAGTCAGCCACCTGGTGGAAGATTTATGGATGGAAAAAGGAAAGTGATGTATAGAAAACAGAAACTAAATATGGTCTGAGAAGGACTCTGTACTTCTATATTTGAATCCTTGTGGAGGAATGTTTACCTAACTAAACAGTGTGAACCCCCAAAATTCGAGACGGGTCTCAATTAATTTAGAAAGTTTATTTTGCCAGGGTTAATGACACGCACCAGTGACAGCCTCAGGAAGTCCTGATGACATGTGGCCAAGGTAGTCAGGGCACGGCTTGACTTGATGCATTTTAGGGAGACATGAGACATCAATCAATATATTTAAGATGTACGTTGGTTCCTTCCAGAAAGGTGGGGACAACCCAAAGCAGGGAGGGGGTTTTCAGCTCACAGGAAGGTGTGAGACAAATAGTTAACATTATTTTGAGTTTCTGATAAGACTTTCCAAAGAAAATAATCAGAATATGTATCTATCTCAGTGAGCAGAGGAATTACATTGAATAGGATGAGAGGCAAGTTTTGCCCTGAGCAGTTCCCAGCTTTACTTTCCCCTTTAGCTTAGTAATTTGGGGGCACCAAGATTTTCCTTTCACGACAGGTAGACAAGATTGAAACCCTAATTTAGAAGTAAGCACGTGTACCTAGCTCAGTCTTGGCCAATCCCAGCAGCCATACTTCAATCACTCATACACTGTTGAGTGTTCAAACAGTTCAAATGAGGTAAACGCCGACCTGTAACCATTCCAGCTGTTTCTGCACCTCACTTCTGATTTCCGTACATCATTTCACTTTTTTTTTTTTTTTTTTTTTTTTTTGGTCTTTACATTTGTTCCGACCACTAAGCATCCCTGGAGTCTCTCTGAATCTGCTATGATTCTGGAGGCTGCCGGATTCACGAATCTTTCATTGCTCAATTAAACTCTTTTAAATTTAATTCAGCTGAAGTTTTTCTTTTAACAGAAGTGAAGTACAGAAACAGCCAGATTAGTTACAGCTTACTGTTTGCTTTATTTGAACATGGTTTGAAACAGTTGGCCAGCTCTGATTTGATAAAAGTAAATGTTTGTGTTTGGTACAACCATGGTGTATTGGTAAGAGGGAGTTGAGAGGAGTGTCTTCTAAGATTTGGGCTTGTGCTAGATTTTAAGGAGAGCTAAGAGAAGCAGGGCCAGATTTGTATTGTATAGTGTCAAAGAATCAGTAGGTTGCAGTTTCTTTACACATCCAGTTAGGTTCTAGTTCACTAGGTAGGGAGAAACCTATAGGCTGAACTTAGAATATGTAAGGAGGCAGCTTTAGGTTAAACTTAATTTAACAGCTTCCATATATATTCTTTGCTAAAACTGGTTTGGCTGAGAACCACTGTATTCATGCTGCCCTTCACAAATATAGTGTTCTTTTCTTCTTCCAAAGGAGAGGCATAATTCTGTGTTCATCCTGAATATACTAAAGTACATAACGTGTAAAAATCTCTGCAACATCTGACATTTTGTTGTCTAGATGACAAATAAATAACTTATGTTTTCATTACAGTCCTCCTGCAAACAGGCAGTTTCCAATGTTTTGCTTTCACCAAAATTGGAGGACCAAATCCAATGGTCAGCTGACCATTCAAAATAATTTTTGATGATGAATCAATGTGATTTTTGCATGCAATTCAGGAATTCTAAAAAATGAATGATATTGAAAAGACATACTTTTCCATATGTGGAGAGTTTTCTCTGTGCTTACATAATATAAAATTAAAATTTAATAGTATAATTGACAATGAATAATAACCTAGCAATAAGTAATAGCTATCTATGGATACATGAACTAATATGGGAGGAGCTGTATTTGTCATTAAAAGACATCCCTCCCTCCCTCTCTCTTTTCTTTTCTTTCCTTCCTTCCTTTCTTTTTCTCTTTCTCTTCCTCCCTCCCTTCCTTTTCTTTCCTTTTTTTCTTTTCTTTTCTTTTTTTGACAGAGTCTCACCCTGTTGCCTAGGCTATAGTGCAGTGGCATGATGTCTGCTCACTGCAACCTCTGCCTCCCGGTTCAAGTGATTCTCCTGTCTTAGACTCCCAATTAGCTGGGATTACAGGTGTGCAGCACCATGCCTGGCTAATTTTTTGTTTGTTTGTTTGTTTTTTAATAGAAACAGGGTTTCACCTAGTTGGCCAGAGTGCTCTCTAACTCCTGGCTTCAAGTGATCTGCCCATCTCGGCTTCCCAAACTGCTGGGATTACAGGCGTGAGCCACTGCGCCCGGCCAAGAGATGCATTTTCAACAAATATTATATTTGCTTAAAAAATTGTGATGTATTTATAGTGTGTTAAGTGTACCTATTGTTGAAACCACCAGTTAAAGGCTACCGAGAGAATACCAAGTCAAAGTTAGATTTCTTCAGCTTGTCCAAGTAGAGGAGAGCACAGACCAAGGAAACCATGGGGTATCGGTAAGAGGGAGTTGAGAGGAGTTTCTTCTAAGATTTGGGCTTGTGCTAGGTTTTAAGGAGAGCTAAGAGAAGCAGGGCCATATTTGTATTGTATAATGTCAACAAGCTAGATAGTTTAACAATTGGGTACCTTAGTAATTCTGTTGAAGAAATGAGAAGAACAGAGGAAGGAAGTGGAGTTTGGATGTCATTAGTAAGGAAAGTAGCAATCACTTCAAAATACTTCTTAGAGCTGCAGTATGGTCTTGACTTCCAGCAGAGCTGACTTTCTCATTATTAATAATTGTAAAGATAACTAAATCTAGGATGTACGTATACATTTTTATGGGAAAATATAGATTGATCAATGAAGAACTTTCAAATATAAGCTGATTATAGATTTATGAATGAAAGACTTTCAAGTATCAACTATATTTTATTAGGTATAATGTTGTAGGGAATAGAAATATGAATTCAAGGAGAAAAAGCAATGATGCAAATGGTTTGTACATTTATTAAATGAATGATACTGAGTATTAAATAGGTTTATACATTTAAATGAGTAATATAATTTTTAAAAAAATAAGTCCCAACATGTACAGTACACCAGAAATTACATTCTTTGCAAATGTCCAAACTTAGAGATGTCTACCTAAAAAGACGCTGGGATAGTATATTTTTTAAATTCCTAAAACAGTATACATGCAGAAAGGTATGAAACCACCATCACAGATGACCATTACCAACTCTATCTTCTTTATACTGACTATGGATGCCCCAGTTGCTCAGAACACATTTCTTGGGCAGTCTCATAGGAATACTATTTTAATAATTGCTTGGAGGATAGAGTCATAGATAAAATAGGGATTGCAGTACGTTTTAGGGGGTATACCCAACCAATAAGCCAATTTTCCTCCAGAAACTTCTCTTCTATTAGGTTTCTATAGCCAGGTTCACCTCCTGGGACATGGCTAGCAGGGTCAAAAGAGACACTGCAACCATGGTAGATGGATTAGAGCCTTTCTCTAGGAATGTCTGAGCTATGAAATACTCTTTAAGTGGTAAGCTGGAGTCGGCTCTTGTGGACTCTGGACGGCTGTTTGCAAAATGTTCGGAAATTGTAGGAGCCAGATGTTTAACACAGTCATCATTAAACATTGAATTATATAATTTACTTAAAGGATATTATGAATAACAGTAATAAATCCTTAAAACTCATCACTTCCTTTTACTACTAACTCTTACTGTTATCTATGCTCTTGAGGTTTATGTCTACTGTATCTCTATGATAGAAATACTATATAATGTTGAGCTATGGCACACCTGTAACCAACTCCATGTTTGGTGGTATCATATTGGCAGCTTGAAATCAGCCATAATAGGAGTACTTATGCCACATAAATTGGAAGACCTTACAAGTCCGGGTGTTTCTCTCAGATATCCAGTCATTAAATATTTACCATCATATCACTCACTTCATCAAAGGAATAGAGAAAAGGCAAACTGTCTCTGATTGATCTGGCCCCAGAATTCTTTTTTCTTGACTTTTCTCAATTAACTGATACTTCTTGATATAAATTTGGGAAATTATCTGATACAGTATTATCAATTATTCACAATTTATTATTGTCTTATGAAGAGA